ACCAAAAAATAATTATACTCCATACGTATACATATATGAGTTTGAATTAGATTGATGAAGGGATAAAATAGTCATTTATATACAAATATATTATTATAATAGTGATATATCTGTAAGCATAATATAGATATGAACTGAATTCAATATTGAATCTCATCTTTTCAAAAATAAATTTAAATTTGAAATGATTTAGAGAAATCAATTCAAAACCTTATTAAAAATTCATCTAAACAAGTCCCAATTTTTTATTTTTTTTTGGTCAAGGTCCCAGTTGTAGTCGAAGTTTCCCAGACTTGATTTTAAGCAAACGAATAGGCCTCTCTGGCTATGAGGAGTTACGAAGCATGTGAAATCTAAATAGACTTGCATTTTACACAATACACGTGAGAGCAATCAAATAATTCAATTGACAGCTTGACAGAATTGACAATTGATTGTTCAACCACATACTAATATTGAGGAATATTCTTTTATTTGTGCGGTGATGCAAAGCAGAATATTAAAATGGGGGGGGGGGGGGTGTTTAAATTTTGTTTAATATATATATTTTTTAATTCTCTTTTTAATATATCATCTATTATTAATGAGTGAAGAAATCCTAATAAAATGAGTCATAATTTTAAAGAGGGAACATAAAATTTGAGTAATATGGCTCCGTTTGGTAACCAATTTTTTTTTTTATTTTTTGTTTTTCTTTTCAAGTTTTCGTCAAAAATAAAAATAAAAATACGTTTGGATTGTGTTTCTATTTTTTTTTCTAGTTAATTTGTTTTGAAAACAAAGCCTAAATCTACAAACAAACAAAAAAAATATATATATTTTCAAAAAACACCCAAAAACACAACTAAGCGTTATGACCAAGGTGAGATTTTAATGGGATTCATCTTTCGAACTCCATTAGTACCAAAATGAAGAATTTTTGTTGGAACTATAAAACTCCCTTATTTCTTTCGTCTCTTTCTCTCTCTCCATCTGATTCTTGTCTCTCTCTTCCTCTATCAAACAAAAAGCCTAAAGATCAGCTCGCAAATCTCTCTCTCTCTCAAGATTAGATCCAATTTCATCCCTTTCTTTGAGCAAATATCCAATCGCATCTATTTGTAGTATGTATACATATGCACATAAATCTGCTTATATGTTGTATCATATAGATAAATCTATGTGTGTGTGTGTGTGCACGCACACATTTGTATGGGTGTGTGTTTACATGATTTGGATTTGTGTTTGTGTGTATGATTCTTTGTATGTGGGTTTTGTTTATCTTTTTTTTTTAATTTCAATTTTTTTTTCTAATAAGGTGGTTATTGCATTTTATAATTTTAAGTGGTTATTAAATATATTTTTTTTTTTAAATTTAATCACAAAAAAAAAATTATTTCTATTTTTATTTTTTTGAAAACACTATCAAACGCATGTTAATGAATTAAAGTTTTATAAATCCGAGAAAAAAAGGCCTCTATATAAGCAAATTTATATTTGAATATTTTCAACCTATTTGAACCCCATTGAGGAAAGTCTCTATATAAGTAATTTTTTTTCCCTGAGATCAATCTTAAAATTTTCAAACCTTATTAAATTATAATTTGAATTATATTGAATTTTAACTTAATTTGATTTAGTCATATCCAATCTTTCCCTCGTTGGAAACACATCATGTTGTGAACAAAAAAGTCAAAAGTAAATGAATAGCAACACTGAGAGACAGTGAACATGGGCCATGCCATTGCCAGCTCAAACCCAATTCGTCTTCTGCACCCACCTATTTCACTCGAAAACTCTCTCTCTCTCTCTCTCTCTGCGTATGAGTTGTGCAGAATGCTCACAAATCTTTACAGCTCAAAGCCAGGAATAATAATTAGTTAGAGAAATCTCTGCATCACATGTGGTAGTTAGTTGGCTAATGCGCTTATAATATCTATAATAATAAGATGGACTTGATTACGGTGGTTAAGAAAAAAAATTTGGTACGGAATTTTTTTAGTTTTATTATTTTAATAAGTATTTTTATAATTTTTGTGAGTTATTTTATAATTAAAAATTTTATTTATTTCGTAGATAATTTTTCATTTTTGTGTGCATTTTTATTATTGTTTTGAGTATTTTTACCACATTTATAAATATTTTTATTATTGTTATGGTAATTATATTTATAATTTATTTGAGTATTATAATAATAATAAAAATATTCACAAATATAATAAATAAACATAATCATCAACTTTCCTAAATAAGATAAAATAGTTTTTGAATACTGAAGTTAACTTACCACAATGACGGTTCAGATTTGTTCTACTTTAAGCTAAATGGTCCAGATCACGTTGGTAAGTTTTTGAATCCCCAAATCACATTTTTTGGTCACACATTTACATGAAGGGGAGGAGTCGAACCCAACACCAACGAATGCAGATCTGAAGGGCGTTATCATCCCCGCGGACTTGAATATGATATCGATAAATAAAATTGTAATACGATAGTAAAATTTATTATATTATGGGTATTTTTATCATTGTCGTTAATATTTTTATTATTATTATGGTATCCAAAAAATTGATAAAAATAATAACGACAACAACAGTAAAAATACTCACAACAATGATAAAAAAAATCGACAAAAATAATAAAAAATTTTGCACCAAATAAAAATGATAAAAATAATTATCACAACAATAATAAAAACATCTACGACAGTGATAATTTTTTTGATTGTAAAGTAACGCACAAAAATTATAAAAATGCTATTTAAAGTAATAAATTTTAAATTTATGATACAAAAATTTTTTGTTTTTGTTTTAATTTTATTTGATAAATGGGTTAACATAATTTCAATCAAATATGACATGCCCTCATTCGATACAAACTTGGCTATATGCGAGAATACTAAGTTGAGTATAAGTTAAATAAATTTTGACACACTTGCATGTTTTATAAATAACGCGACCTATTAATGACAATAATTAGTATTTCTCAAATTATTGAATATTAATAGCATTGATGACAAAAGTATCTAAAGTATTGTAAATACCATCCAACACAGCATTAATCATAAATACTTATTAATTAAGGGGTCATTATTGGAGTTGACTAAAACACCGAATTAGACATTTAATAAAAAAAAAATTGGAAGTGATCATACTTATCTTGATAAATGCATTGTTGACTGTTTGGTATGGATAGAATATTCTACCATAAAGAGTCCCTAAACTTTTGATGGGCGTCAAACATTTTTCACCTAATCAAGTAATGTCAATATTTTGTGATTCGATGGGTATCGGCTTGAATTTGAACCCTTGCTATTTATTTATTTATTTTTTATCAAGGGTGTCCAGATTTGCAATTAGGGTTATTAATCAAACTGAACTATTCGAGCTTGATTGGAGTTTGACTCAGGTTCGATTCATTCAGACTCGATTCGTTTTCTAAACAAGCCCAAAATTGAACAAGGTTTTATGCTTGTTTAAAACACAAATCTTACAAGTTCAGTTCAAATTCGACAAATTTGACTCGTTTATGTGCAAATACTTGGGCTTGACTCGAGCTCGACTTATTTTTGGCTCGTTCAGGTTCGGCTTGTTTCCTAAACTAATCGAACTTGAATAATTTTTTTAATTCGATTAAGAAACAAGCTTTTCAAGCTTGCTTTGAACTCAGTTCGGGCTCATTCGACTAGCTGTCCTATTTGCGATCCATCGAGTTTGGATATTGACCGTTGTAGCTCGAACAGATTTAAAACATTTCTTTTGAGGAATAAGGGTGACTGACCATTATGTGGTATGTGAGAAGTGTTGAACCTAATGCTTCTCCACTAAAACACTCAATTCTTTCCAAAAAAATTATAGTTCAAGTACTAATAGAGACGAATTATAAAACTAGATATCCTGAATTTTGAATATTGACAATCATTGGGGATAAGTCATAAGGAATTTATCTCTTATGAATACCCTAATCTTAGTGTGGATAATATATTTTTAACCGGACTAAAAAAGAGATTAGTCGAAGTGCACTTAAGTAGACTCATACACCCTTAACTATGAGTCAACTAGACTCAAATTTTACACGACTAGTAGACTCTAACTTAAAATGTAAAAATTTATACTCACCCTATACACTAAAAATAAATTTTATGGAACGTTGAAATTTTAATGTGATGACTATAAAGAAAAAACAATTACACTTATTTAGGCCTCGTTTGGTAATATTTTTGTTTTTCGTTTTTCAAAAATGAAAAACGAAATCCAAAAACGTCTTTTTTTGGTTTTTGAAAATCGGCTCTCGTTTACAAAACGGTGGCAGAAACGAAAAATAAAATCAATTATCAAACGAGTTTTTTTTTCTTATTTTCTCTGAATATCAAAATAAAAACGAAAAACGAAAAACGAAAACGTTACCAAACGGGGTCTTAGAAAACATACACAATTGTATGTTGATTGAAAGGATACAAATTTTTATTACGAAACATTAAAATTTTTTTTTAAAGAGATTAAAATGAATTAATAATAAAATCAAAATTTTAATGTTTAAAGATATTTTGTTTTATTTTCATAATTATTTTAAAATATTCTAGACATAAATTTTTTATTTTTTTTATTTGTTTCATAAATCCAAAAAATGAGTGTTAAAGACTCAAAGAGTCAAAATAGGTACTAAATATTTTTTTGTTTGATCAGAAGGTACGAGATATTTGAAGATGCTTTTTTTGATTTTCCACATGATATGAGGAACCACAGGGCCGGTCTTACCTCGGTCCACGTCAGGTACACCTGTCTGCGTCTTTTTTATTACTAAAATTTGAGGAGGAGATTCGTTAAAGAATAATATTTCGTAAACTTAAAAAAATAGACTTTTTAACGATTGAGATTATTAATTATTGTATAATTATTGAATTCTAATAAATATTAAAGTCTATAATAAAATTAATAATTATAATTATTAAATTTAATTTTTAATAAGTGCACGAGCCGACAAGTTTTCTCTGTCTCCCTCTCTGTCCCGATCCCAATTGGCTACTTGTGTTTTCCAAACGTGGAGAGAGAGAGAACTATGGAGAGATTAGGGAGAACTGAAGATTTTGGAGAGAGGGAAAATGAGTAGCAACATAAGTTGCATGGTCTGCAGATAAAAAATTCAGAGACAGAGAGGGAAGGGGGAGTATTAGAAAGAAAAAGGGGGAAGAAAGGGCAGAGAAAAAGTGGTGGGTTTGTGTGGTGTGGGATTAATCGGATCTTGTGTCTGGGATTTAATTTTGAAATGATGGTTTCGTTGGGTTCGCCTCAAATGTTAGAGTTTTTCAAGGATGCAGCTGGAGTCGCAGGTATTTGCTCGCTCCTCTCTCTCTCTCTCCCTCTCTCGGAATTATCAGTATGTGAGAATTTATAAACACTCCTTGACAATATTTGTTTGAGGAAGAAAACCCATGATTTTACTACTGCAACAACTTTTTTTTTCCTTTTTCTCTTTACAGTTATTTTCCATTTTCACAATGAATTTGCGAGAATGTTAATGGTTTTGGCCATTGTTTATAAAAGTATGTAGAGTTTGGTCTTTGATGTGGATTGTAATTTGCTTCAGATGTATCTCAAGTTTGTGTAATTTTTCTGTTTGCTTGGTCAATTATTAGACACTCACACCCAAAAAAAAAAAAAAAACCCACAGATTTATTTATTTTTTGGTTCAATGATCAGTTGGGTCAGGGTCAGCTTATCCTCCCCAATCCAGTGAGAGGCAAGCCATCTATGTGGGTGCACATATGTATATTAAAAATGTAATTGCTGATACCAGAATTTATGTGTATACAATGAGCATTTATGTGCAAATTTTGGGGTTGGACCTTTTGCTACATTAGAAATGCGATATGCTCAGGCAAAGAGCTTCCTCATAGTCATAAGGAAAGACTTCTCTGGTGATTGATCGGAATTCAAGTATATGGTATTTGGAAGTTTGTTGCAAGAATTTATTGAATAATTTTTGTCAAATTCAAGACTGAAAAAAGCCATCCATGACTAAAATGAAGGAAAAATGGATGTTCTTCCCTTGCTACATGAGGTTTGATGATAGTTCTGGAATTTCTTTGATTGGTTTTTCGAGTTATGCTTTGAGCTTCGTCTACTTTACTAAGAAAGGTGCAAAACTCAAGCTTGATTCGAAATTGTTATGTTGCAAGTAATTCAATTTTTGTTGCAGGAAATATATTCGCTTTCGGGCTCTTTGTGTCACCTATGTAAGTTCCACCCCGGAGTAATTCATGTTTTTCGCTAGATTTTCACAAGCATACAAAGTAATGAAAATGACTGTCTATTAGTTGTCCCCCTGACTATCTTCCAACCTTTTATTTGCAGACCAACATTTAGGAGAATTATCAGGAACCAGGCAACAGAACAGTTCTCAGGATTGCCATATATATATGCCCTCTTAAACTGTTTGATCTGTGCCTGGTATGGCACACCTCTTGTATCTACTGCAAACTTACTGGTTACCACAGTGAATTCAATGGGTGCAATTTTCCAGTTAACCTACTTAATACTGTTCATAACATATGCTGAGAAAGGACAAAAGGTTATACATTCCTACATATTCTTGCATTTGTTATTGACTGCAGTTTTTAGCAATGTTACATTGTCTAACTTTTTTGTTCATTTTCCAAATGGATGTTGCTGGCAGCTAAAAATGTTAGGATTGCTGCTGGCGGTTTTTGGCCTATTTGCAATTGTTGTAGTTTGGAGTTTGCTTGTAACTGACAGTGCTATACGACATGGCACCATTGGGTTTTTGAGCTGTGCTTCTCTCATATCCATGTTTGCTTCTCCATTGTTTATAATTGTAAGCTTATCCCATTAGCTCTCTGTGAAGGGCGCATTGCCTTAAATTGCTTTTATTTTTACTTAATATTTAGGTAGATTGATTAATGTGTATTTTGTCAGAAATTGGTTATCCAAACGAGAAGTGTTGAATTCATGCCATTCTACCTCTCCCTTTCCACGTTCTTGATGAGCACCTCATTTTTGTTGTATGGAATCTTCAATTTTGATCCTTTCATCTATGTAAGATTCCTTTACTTTTTGTAATATTCTTAACAATTTTAGCCATGCTTTGTAATATTACTGTGTACATATTTCCTCGTCTTTTTAGCTGCATATGTAAAGCCGGCTTATTCACTTGATTTTCAGGTCCCAAATGGCATAGGAACCATTCTTGGAGTTGTACAATTGGTATTGTTCTCTTATTACAGCAATAACTCTAGAGAAGACTCCAGAGAAGCGTTGATAGAGTCGTATTCTTAGGGGGTGGCTTGGCTAGGTAACAACGCGCCTTTAATATCTTTGGATACAATTTTAGGTTTCCTTATGCTTGTAGGTGAACCATCATTTGTATAGTGGGGAAATTTGGAATCAAAATTAATCATTTAAAGATAATTGTCTTTTTCATTCTGATACAGGACTAATATTCCATCAGAGTGCTGAATATTTGTTCTTCAAATGCTTGGCTTCTCTAAGGCTGATTGGTTCTGTCTGAAGCATGCTGTCGGTATGAAGTGATTCTAACTTGCTCTTTTTGTCGTTGCTTGCCAGAACTGTATTGTTTGTTGTTCCATTTGTTAGGTAAGTCTGCAAGAATCGATGCTCTGTTTGATTACATGAACTGAGCAGGCAAAATGCATGAAGCAACGAATGGAAAATATTGCTCCCCAGTCATTCAGCGTCTGTGTGTGGAAAATGCTTTTCCTATGCAGTGTTGTATTTATAAGCACATTGCTACCAGTCAGTTGTTAAATTAACGATCATCTCTCATATTTTTCAGATTCTGTTTTTTGGATCATCAGAACTCCCCCCCCCCCCCTCCCAAAAAATAAAAAAAAAAACTCCAAAACCTTATAATGTACATTGTAATGTATATCTCATCATTTATGTTTTATCAGGAAAAAGAAACCTTTTGATTTTTCTACGACATATGTTAGAGCAGGTACTAAAGCAGAAATTTCTATAACTGTGACCTCGTCAAGAGAGCACAAGACCTTCAAAATCATTCATAGGTGGCCTGCTCATTCAAGGAAAAAAAGTTTCGTATAAAAGTTGAAATCTTATTCTTATTTGTCTCATTGTAAACTATACCAGTTAGGTTCCCTGATACCTTTGCTGCAACTAGGATGGTAGTATTCACTCTGGATAGACAAGCATAAGAACCTCTATTACATGAAAATTTTTTTGGATGTAACGTTACACAATGTCATCATGCTGACATGGTGTAACCATCTAATGATAATGATAACATTTGGGCAGGGAGATTTCACATATTCTACTAACCACTTTGTTATGTCTTTTGATAACTATTCAAATGGGGCACACATTGTCTATTTGTAAATTTTTTATTGGATGGTGACACTATATGTTAATGATGACGTGGTGTTACTGTTACATCCAATATTTTCTCCCCAGGGCCCTCTTACTTTCTCGTGGGGGAGGGAAATCAAAATGGGCTTATACAACATTTTGTGTTACTGGTTCTAAACCTTCATCACTACCTCAAAGAACTGGCTCACCATCTTCAACTGAAATTTCACTCTGTTCCAAGACGAGAAATCAAGAAAATGTTGAAGGAAATTATAGCAAATCCCTCAGGGTAGTTCTCACAGCAGTTTGCTCCTGAATATCCAAACACAAAAAGTATGTGAAGTTTAAGAATATATTGATAATCCCAGAACATAAAGGAGAAGTTACGACTCAAATGGTTCAAGTTCTGACTCGATAGAGCCGATACCTTGTGCTTGTCAAGTGTAAAATCTATAGAGCCGATACCTCCTGCATGTCAAGTGTAAAATCTATCTATTTTGAATCTAGTTCAAGTGATAATAGATATAAGATATAAACTCAGATGTTCTGAGTTCGAATTTTAACGATCTCATGGGACTAAGTCATGAGAGATTTATTATTTATAAATATTTTAGTTTTACGTGGATGGTTTGTTTTTAACCGGACCACGAATAGATTAGTCGAGGTACACATAAGTTGGCTCAGACTTCGTCAACTATTTTATCGTGTTTTATTATTTTTTATGATTAATGATTATAAATTAGGTAAACTAAAATCCATGGCTGAAAAATGATTTTTGGTCCCCAAATTACAATGTAAGCATTTGTTGGATACCTGGTTTTCAGCATTTCCTTCATATGAAGAGTGATGCAGTGGTCTGCCTCTCTCATCGTAGAGAATAAGCCCACTGAACCTTGGCAGCTCACACTTCTCACCCATAAGTATCGGCCTTTGCCACACCGGCGACACCGAGTTGTGACTCTGCCACCCCACCTCAGCTCCACCTCCTCCGCCACAAAGCAATGGCCCCTCTCTTCTACTCCCCATCCTCATGCTCTCCCCCCACTTACTTGACCCACTCCACCGCACTGAGCTCATCAAAACTTTCTTAACCGAGCCCCAACCTGGTCGTGACTCGGACCATTTTGCATCTTCCGAATCTACCACTCTTGGTTCATGATCAACAATTCTGTTTCTTTTAGCCTTTCTCTTAAGAGCCGTGGCAGCGCAGAGTCCGATGACTAGAAAACCAGTGCAAGCAAAGAAGAGAACAGCTTCTTGGGTTGATAAGTTCCATTTGTCTTCTAAATTCCACAGAGCTTCCATTGATTCTGTATAAAGTGTTTTAACAGTTTTTAGGGATGGTAGAGATGTAGAAAGATAGAGAGAGAGATTTCCAGTTACAGGAAGTAGTAGGTGAAGAGTAGAGTTTTTGGAAAGTTGGAACAACTAGGGGTTGCATTGTCGAGGTGGGCGGGCTTCTTGTGAGAATCACCGCCAATTGGGAATGCGAATGGGTTTGTCTTGTGGGTGTCTGTTTGGTAGGCCACCATAGTGTATTAGCCGTCGGCAATTACTCTCCCATGGAATCCTAATAAAGGCACTTCACGGGCTACTCAAGTATGTCATAAACTATACGCCCTTGAAAGGTTGGAGTCATAGTCTTTCGGAAGAGTCAAGTGAAAAACAAATTTAATCCAATACTAATTCAAGTGATAATAAAAACGAGTTATAAATTCAGACGTTTTGAATTCAAATTTTAATAACTCCTTAGAGTCAGATTATGAAGAATTTATCCTCCATAAATAATTTAGTTCCCACGTGGATGGAGACCGGATCAACAAGAAGATTAATTGAAGCGCGTATAAATTAGTTTGGACATTCTTAACCGTTAAATCCAAAAAAAAAAATGAAGGAAAAACAAATGATGTCGTGTTTGTGCAATCAACTTTACCACACACAAGCCTCTCTATAAAATTATTAAGGGTAATCCGTGCATGAAAGCACGGTGTAATATAAATAATTTTGAGGGGAATGTTGGTAACCGTTGAATGAGTCTATTTAAAACCGTCGAATAAATTTATTAAAATATATCATGTTTTACACTATAAATTCAATTCAAACTCTAACAAACTAAATTAAAAATTATTTTTAAATCAACTCATACAATACAAGATTGAGAAATGACAAAATGCGAATTATATATCTATATATATATTTGATTACAATACAAATTACACAGGTTATTTATGTGATACAGTAAATCAATTTCTTTTATTATTCATATTAATCAATTATTTTTTTTAATTCGTATCATATTCGGGGCCAATAATAAAACGGTATACTCTGGGGGAAGTTCGGAGAGGCCCAACTCATGAGCCTGTGCCAACGTACTTGCTAAGCGCCTAACTAGGTGATCAGAAAATTAGCCCAAGCTAAGCCCGACCCGAGACATTTGGTCCACATGTCAAATAGAGAGTATCCGATCCTTTTGTAAGTTGCCGAGATAGCCCTCAGGGTAGCTTGGAAATAAGGAGAACCAAAAAGGGCGAAGAATGAATTATATTATGTACCCTCAAAAAATTTAAAAATTTTACTTTGTACTTCTAAAAATTATATTTTTTTCATATTGTACTCTTAAAGATTATATTCTTTATATTGTATTTTTAATGTATCAAAAATATTATAATATGATCATTTTATTATTTTTTATTACTCATTAAATTATTGTTAATAGAATAATTTTTAGTGGAATAAATAACGAAAGTTGTTAAAAAAGTCATATTTTAAATATATTAATATATTTTTATATGGTTTTTTTTTTATTATTTTTCATTATTCATTCTGTCAATATTTATAGAGTAATTTTTAATAAAATAAACAACTAAAATTAATAGAAAAACTAATTTGTAAGAGTATAAAGTGAAAAATCATAAATCATTCAGAGTGGAAAGTGTGATTCCAAAAAAAAAAAGAAGAAAAGTAAAATAGATACGAGCCATAAGGCTATTTTACGCCATAGATTAGGGTTTTGGTTCTGATTGCCGGAGGAGACTTCTCTCTCTCGCACCCCTCGAAGTTCGTCGCTTGCAATCTCAAAGCTTCGTAAGATTCGGCAGGTTAGTTATCTGAATAAACTTACGTTTCTGTACTGTTATGAATATCATTATACGCCGTTTCGTGGCATACGATCTTCCTCCCAACCCTAGAATTTAATTCGTTCATTCTTGTTTAAGTGTTGTCTTGGCTCTGGGTTTTTTAGGATACATTTATTCATTTTTATTTTAATATCTACGTTATTGAGGTCCAATTATCTGAGGAATTGTTAGTTTATTTTCGAAAACCAGAATATTCTGGAGATGGGCCCTTGTTTTTAGTACTGTCTGTAGTTTTGAACTCGTGTTTTGGGTTGTTCTCTTTGTGCTATTGCTTATTGAATATGCATGTTGTTCAGGTTTATTGATTGCACAAGCTTGAGTTTTACTATCTAGACTAGAATTTTACGTTTCTTGTAGGACAGTATTTCTGTGTGTTACGTTTACATACTAAATTCTTAAGAGTCATCCTTGTAGAGATATAAAGCAGTTACTGTATAGGAGGGCTTACTTGAGTCATTTACTTTTATTGCTAACGAAAATCTTCGGGTTGATTGATACTCTGTTATTGAAGGAAATGTCTGGAAGGAATCGTGGGCCCCCAATTCCAATGAAAGGTGGCTCACATGCAGGGCTGCCTCCATCTATTCACGAGCCTCCATTTGCCAGAGGCCTCGGACCAATGCCCCATCCTGCATTGCTCGAAGAAATGAGAGAATCCCAGTTTGGGATTGGTTCCAGACAACTCCCTCCTCACCCTGCAATAATAGAGGAGCGCCTTGCAGCTCAGCATCAGGACATTCAAGGCCTTTTGATTGATAATCAGCGTTTGGCTGCAACCCACGTGGCCCTTAAGCAGGAACTAGAAGCAGTGCAGCATGAGCTTCAACGAACTGATCACTTTGCCCGTACGTTGCACACGGAGAAGGATATGCAGATGAGGGAATTGTATGAGAAGTCTGTTACCATGGAAATGGATCTTCGTGCCGTGGATGCTATGAGGGCTGAGCTTATGAAGGTTCATGCTGATATCAAGGAGTTGACCACTGCTAGGCAAGAGCTTACTGTTCAGGTCCAAGGAATGACCCAAGATTTGGCCAGAGCCACTGCAGATTTGCAGCAGGCCCCCGCCATCAAGGCAGAAATTGAAGGTCTGAAACAGGAACTGCAGCGAGCGAGGTAATGTTGTGCAGGGATTTTCTACCTGACGTTTGGCTTTATGAACCATTATAATACAATATTTTCTTGTTGGGTTTTAAAGGGCTGCAATTGAGTATGAGAAGAAGGGGTATGCAGAGAACTATGAACATGGTCAGGTGATGGAGAAGAAGTTAATCTCGATGGCTCGGGAGTTGGAAAAACTTCGTGCTGAGATGGCTAATGCGGAAAAAAGAGCACGTGCTGCTGCAGCAGTTGGAAATCCAGGTACTTGTGCTCCCTTTGGAATTTATTGAGTTGCAAATAATTGGTTCAGTTTCAAGTAGTAGTTAATGGTGTTTTTCTTAGTTCATTTCCTTTCTTCTCTTATACTTCCTTTTAATGACATGGGGGTTTGTATGAGAAGAAGAAAATAGAACTATAGAAGGAGGTTGCAACTCAGGGTTTCTCATCTTGATCTGTGAATGCCATTAACCAATGTTGGTTCCTCCAATATAGGGCTCTAGGAATGATGTTTACTTGTGATTGAGGCATTGTTTACATTGACTGCTTTGACTTTGCTCAAATCGGCGCCCTTATGTTGACGACCCCCGCTTTTATCGTTGCTTAATCAGTGCAATGGATGCTTTTCAATAATTTTGTTTGGGAGCATAATATTAAGCTTTTTCCACTTTAAAATCAAATAACACTTGCGGGAAACTAAGGGTTTTTATAAAGTCCACTGATAAGCAAATATGACAAGAGAACTGAAATTCTTGTGTATAAGTTATTTATTGGTCAATCCATGGGCTCCAAATTTTTTGAAGGACTTTCTTGGCAAAATTTACTACGTAATTGAATTTATTGAGGAACTCATTAGAATTTCATGAACAGTTGAATGTACAAGCAAAAGTGTTAGGCTTAGAAATATTCTAGCAATTAAGATGCTTCTGCAATGAGATACAAAGATTGGGAAACTCCTGCCACTGGATGAAACTATTAAGCTTTTTATAACTAGGATTTGTGAAAAAAATTATTCATTCATAGAGTGACTGATGGCGTTCAGTGTTAGGATTAGTTGATTATTTGAGTTGGATAAACTTATCATTTGCTCAAAAATTTATGCCAACAGCGTGTGCCTGTAGTTACAATTAGAGATTTGGGAATGGGATTGAAGATCAAATAATTTAGAGAGGTGGTTAGAAATTGGGGCAGTTGCTGGTTTTGATCAAGCTAACTCTTGATGCAGATGGTTAAAAAAAGAACGAAAAATATAAGTTTGCTGGTCTAAAATGAGTGGATCACACTAGTTCAACCACTGGTTCTCCACAGCTTAAAATTCTTCTATCCTGGTTTAGTCGTTCTTACAGTGTTTGTATTCATCTTTTTTTTTTTTCCTGTAAACATCTCTCAAATGCCTTAAATAACTAAAACATGTTTCTTTCTCATTGGACTTCTATTCAATTCCATAAATAATGCTTTCATTTGTGTCTGCAGGTGCAGGTTATAGTGCAAGTTATGGTAATACTGAATCTGGATACGCAGGCAATTCTTATGCTGCCAGTTATGGAGTGAATCCCAAGAATCCTGTATGTTTACTCTCATCTTTTATTTTCCCTCATGCAAACTTGACCACCCATTGTATAAATGTATGTTCTATGTATTTGGCCATCAATGCTATTGGCTTTTCCTTTGTATGAGGTATATTTTATTTCCTTTCTCACAGGTACAGGCTGGTGTAGAAGGTTTTTCTCAGTATGGACCTGGACCTGGTGCTTGGGGTGCATATGACATGCAGAGAGCTCAAGGGCACCGATAGACTGATTCATGCTTGTCCGTGATCTCTTACTTTTCTTGTCTGCGTGCTGGTACTTTGAATTGGAATTTTGAATTGGATTTCTAAGTGTTGTCTCTTGATAGACGTTTACAAAAATATGCTCTTTTATTTTGGGGATTTGTAGTCCTGCTGGAAATGTTGGTAGTTCATATTAGCCTGCTGATGCAAATATATGAACCAACATTGCTTACTTTACTCATTTTGACATGTGATCATGAGTTTCACTTTTTTTTTTCCTGTCGTGCTTAAAAGTGTGCAGCAACTCAAGGGTTTCTGTTTCCAAGATCTTTTACTAATGAAGTTTTGTATTGTAAGCAAGTAAGATTCGGATGCCAATGGCCCCTATTTGTTTTGGTAGCTTAAAGTGGGTAAGATACAATAATTTAAGTTGTGGTGTTCTCCTGTGAAGGCATGTAGTTAACTATTGTACCTTCATTTGCAATTCAAGACCCCTATTGAGGCCTCTTCTGTGTTTTCTGCCTTAATCCTGAGGCATATTCATATTTAACCTTCCTCTCTAGCCTCAAAGTCTTCACAGTGTAGAATGGTGTCCCACTTATGAATTTGTGTGGAATGAGGCAGATCTTTAGCATTTGACTTCGTTTGAGAACAATCTTGTCTCTTTTATTTTAGTTTATCCCTCTATTAGGTCATTTAAAGCTCATAGAAATTCAGAGGCCTTTCTAAACAGATATGTAGCTCTATACTTATTGGTCTGTAAATAGGATGACGATAGGATTAGAATGGAGCTCTAACTTGCTATTGGCTCCTCGGCAGATTTACTTATTTGTTGGGAAATTATCCTACTCTTCATTTCGACCTTGGGGCATTATTGAAGGCAATGCATGTAATAATACTCCATTGCCCATAGTCAGGCACTATTGAAGGCGATACAGTTAAAAATGGTCTCTGTTGTTGTGTTGATTCTTTGTGGGGGTCAAGCTGCGTTCACTTGAGAGTTTAGGGAATGAATTATTGAAATGTCTTTTTGAAGGGTTGCACTCCAATTTTCCATGAAGGTTGAGAAAACTACTGTATCGTGCAGCAAAATCCTACATTGAACATTAAAACAAGGTTACATAGTTCGCTGGTCAACAATTTGTTTTTGTAAGTTTCCATCTTCTTGTTTTAGTTGTCATTGATGTCATTATTTTCTTGTTCTCTCTTTCTCTCCGTTCCTTGTGGGAAGAAAAGGAAGTTATGTGGTTGAAGATTGTCATCATGCTCATGGTTCATGGTTCAAGGTTGTGGTGTTGGCCATTGACTTGTAAGGCATTGGGACTCGTCAGTTGCGACATGGCAAGACAATGTCGCATGATATAGACGAACTGCTAGATGGAAGAAAAATTGGACATGGCAAGAGATTGAGGCCATACCGTAAAATCACAGAATGTGACAAGATGACTTGGCAGCGTTGACTAAGGCATCCCTGAGTCAATCATTGATTCGAGTGAGACAAGCCATATATTAGTCTTACAACAGGATGGTGCCGAGTCAAATATGGATCGATTGAGCCTGGGTCTAATTGATATCGGTCAATACTTTGAACCGTGATCGTCCATAATCCTTAGGGAAATGCGGCAATGTGTGGCCTGCCTTTATTATATAATGATTATTTTTGTAGCATGGTTTCAAATTTTGTCTTCAAACAGTACGTTCCTTTGCTGTCATATGGGTCGATTCACATTAACATTTTTTCTATGCTGATACCCACATATTTGGAGGAATTTAATTTCTTGATGTCATTATCATGTTATGTGATGATGAGAAAGGGTCTGTCATCAAGTGGTTTTAAAAGAATGGATGTGAGGAATTTTGGTGAGAACCCTTTTGTGGTGCTAAAAATAAAGAAATACCATCATGGTAATGCCATATATTTCTTTGGCAGACACATCCGAATTAAATATTGGTTTTCTTGGCTATTTTTTTTGTGTGTTTGTAGGAAGGAGGAGGGGGGGTGGGGAGGTGGATTAGAAGATATTAGGAAGGCTTAGAAATAAAAGATCATGGCTGTACTTCATTTTTTTTAAAAATTAAAAGTTAGTTTGGATGTGAAGGGGATCTAATAAATAAATATTCATTGTGGGTGGAAATATATCTAAATAATGCACTTTATAAAATTTATGTAAATACTGCTAATGTAAGCTAATTGCTTGTTGTGCATTCACATTGGTGTGGCATCAAGGCGATAGCCCTATATTTGTTTTATCGAACCGTGGTAGTGTTATTGTTTTTTAGCTGAAAAGAAATAGTCTACTTACTACTAGGTAGACAATACAAGTAAAAAAGTAAAAGTTGGACAAGAAGTCCAACCTAAAATGCATTGTAGTATTATTATGACCACAACGGCAATTTAGCCTGGAATTGGTCATTTGAGTCATTGTCCAACTCATCAGAGCATGAGGTTGCTGTTTCAAGGATGGTTTTTATAGCTCACTAAGGTTCACTGAGCAGATGGTCGGTTATTTTTTTGGCCTTCTAAGTTGTATTCTATTGCTGCTGAGATGAATTTCCGATGAATGACTTAGTGATGTCTTCCTTGTTTCTCCTTATCAGTTAGTTTCAGTTGTTGACTCCACTAGATGCATAAGTATCGCTTTAATCATCAGTCAACCTTTGCTTAGGATATTGGTTGAAGCTAGCACATAGCTTAATTTTTATATTAGCAAATTTATCAGAAGAGCACCAGAGGGGCTACATTCGTGCACAAAAGGTATGGAAGAGGGCAAGTATTAGAAGAACTACGGAACATGACTCCAACTACATACTCAAACTAAAAATGGTGCAGTGGAGGTCTCCATTGTCCAATTGCTTCTCTGAACACTTTTTGTAGAAAATATGGTTTTATGTTGTGATACATTTCCGCCTTGTCAAAAGAACAACGTTTTCCCTCCTTCCAAATGCAACACCATGTACAAGGTACCATATATTTCTCTCAAGTTTCATTACCTGTCCAGCTCCATAAAGTTGAAGGATGATAAGTTTATTGGTGTGATGAATATCTTGGTGTAATAATGGTTATGATCCCTCTATCTTTCTCTTTCTCTCTCTCTCTCTCTTGGTTTGGATTTGGAGTGAGCTTTCTCATGAATGTGGTATTCCAGTCAATGATTCCTCCCATGTAGAAGTGCTAGAGCCGTTGCAGTTCGTTATCTTCACTGCATTAGGAATTATGGCTGTTGGGAGATATGGGCAGTGATCTAGTAGGGCGGATGAATTGTTATCAGTGCAGGTTCAATATATAAGATGGAAATATTATTTTCCTTTTTTGGTTTAGTGCTGAGGGTTGCGTTTTGAAGAAGAAATTTTGAAGAAGAACGAATTTTTTAAAGGAACCAACCATTTCCTCCATTTCTTTAGATGCACGGCGGTCAAGTATTCAGAGAATCTTATTGATTGCATGATATATGGTGGCTGTTGGCAGGACATGTTCGATTGTGGAGCCACATGATGACTTTCTCAGGCAAGTAAGTGATAACTTGTACTAAGCATAACACCCCCTCCCCCGGCATTTCACTTTCCGTAAATTCAAGAGCAGAGAGTTTCCTCTTAATGTGACGTAGAGGCTATTGTTCATGTCATATTGTCCCTTGATGCTTAAAGTTTGCTATCAAAAAGTAATGAATGAGCTGTCTTAAGAGTTGCTAACTTTGATTTGTATCTCAAGATTGTTTCTGCTATTTGAAGGTAGATTTAAAATTAAGATGTGTGCACTTACATGCTTAAATTTATCATTATTTCTGTGGATATGATTGACTGTTACTTCCTTTTATATATATATATATAAATAACTATCTATCTATTTGTTGTGTAGGGTTGGTTTCCTGGTTTCATCAACTTAGTGCATGCGGGTTAGAGTGTTTGTTTTCAGAAATTTCGGAAACAAAAGCATGTTTGGCTGTAGTATCTGTTTGTTTTTTCTGGAAAACATTTCCTAATTTTGACCCAAAATGATGACATAAAAATTTGCTTTTCCAAACTAAGGAAACACGTTATTCACTGTTCATTCTCTGAGACCTTCCCTTCAAAACATTGTTTTGCAACCGATGCAACCATACGAGCACTACAGGACTGGATCCCGACAAATCCTTTTAGCGACAAAATATAAGAGTGCATCCCCATTTTAGTCAAAGTCTCACAGCAAACTATTCCATTGTCCTTTTGCTCGTCATCAGTTGCATTCTTGCCCTTCCTGACCCGGACATTCCAAATCTTAAAAAAGGAGGATGCAGGCACGGCAAAAATTCATTACAACAAAAGTTTATGCATTGAGTTATTCAAATGCAATCCTATAGACAAAGCATTATAAGGATGCCGAAGTACTGAACTATGATTGTGCCTCCTCTCAAATAAAACCTTTTGCATACTCACCTTTATTTTTGTTAGGAATTTATACAACCATCACTATTTCTATTCTTAACATCTGTATGTTTTTTCATTGTCATATCTCAAAATCATAGTTTCATTTTCCGGCGAAGTGTCAGACACGTGTGCGTAATTAGTTTTCAGTTAACAGCTTCTGACAAAGTTTGTCAGAAACCGGACGTGCTGCCAAATAAGAACACGACATGTCAATATTTTTTTTATTTTGTAGCTATGGACACGGAGAGAAGTATTAGACACGTATCAAAGGGTGCTTGTGAAGTGTCGGTGTCCAACACCTATCCAACACAGAAACAACATCTTCTCCAAAATGTCCATTGGTTCTTAAACCACTGATATGGATTTTCCTTTGACTTGGGACATGTGGGATGTCATGTATTCTACCACAGTTCATGTTGAAGGAAATAAGCATCTAACCCTCTAAGCCTTTTAATCTTATGTCAGTATTTTACTTCCGAAGTTATCTAAAAGTGACCATCAAGTGAAATTCGTCAAAGCATTTTGGTGGTGTCTGAATGATGCTGTGGAGATGTCAGAAGCTTGGTGTGTGTGTGGCTTGGTTTCACGCCTTTTGTCATGGGAAGAGAATGTTCCACTTTCCTGTAGGATTGTTATTGTGATATACTATATTTGTCTTCTCCTACTCTTTTCTCCTGAGATTTTTTTTGCTTGCCTGTACATTTAAGGAGGAATTGAGGTGTCACACAACTTTTCATGTTGAGCCAGTGTCAAATGTTGTGCTATTTGTTGTTGTCACAAATTAAGTTGATGCATTACAAAATGTTGGGTTATGATCTATGTTGATCTGGTTGCTTATCTTATTATAAGAATTCCTCGCCATTTTTTTCGAAAATGGTAAACTGAGTGATTCTGCATTTATGTTGCTTATAGTTTATTTTTCTCAAGTGTTTTTGCTTGAATTTATGCTCTAGTATGGAATTTTTTATCATGTTTTGACATTCTGTTATTTTCATATGTAGGTCACACCTAAAAGCACCAATGAACAATCGACTGCTTTCGCCATTATGCAGTAATATTTGAAATCCCTGAGGTATGTGAAATTTATTCATTTTTTCTGGAATTCTATCTGTTAAGCTATTGTTGATTTGTCTCATGGTCTCATCATATACCGGATGTAGAACTGAGCATCTAGAATTATACTTTTAAATCTCTTGCATAGCGTCTTGGTGAAGTGCATGGTTGTCTCTTGTGTATCGTGTTAGCATATGTGGATATCGAACCTACTTGATCGTGATTTGTGTCATAGGGGGTCAGGGTAGATTTTTATAATGAGGGAGTCTGACTTGCGAATTATTCTCTCTCTCTCTCTCACACACACACACCCCTATTGGAGAGTGAAAGAGTGTGGTTGATAATGTCACGAGAGGCACGATTTTTCTATGCTTCCAGTGGTAAGGTTCTTGCTACCTTTATGCTTGAATATGATGCAGGCAGGTAGTATTGTAAATAGAGGCCAATTGGTTTATGTATTCTGGTGTAGAATTCATTCAAATTTCTTTTCTTTTCTTTTTGTGGAACCCCCCCCCCCAAAAAAAAAAAAAACCACCCAGGGGAGTGGGTCAACTGCTTTTTTTTTTTTTTTCTGCAGCAGAAATTCCCTATTAGTCTGGAAAGAGTTCTTGAGTTTTGATCTTGTCACATCCATGGGTGATGATAATTTGGAATGGTCGGTAGTGATCTGGTGAACCTTTTCTGAGGTGATCGCGTGATATGAGAAACGTTAATTACAATGTTATGTCTGATTGCTGTATTGTTCTGGTGCTGTGCAGGTTAGTTGCCTCAATGTTGGGTGTGTTGCCTTTATAGGCTGTTATCTCGATTTTTACCTGGTTGCGATCTGTTAAATATGTTAGCACCATAATTACGGTAGCCATGATGCATAGCTGCCTTAATATGTGGTTTACCTGGTCAGTGGTCACTGTCTAGATTTATTGGTTATACCTTGATAGTAATGATGTACAAATTGGTATGGCCTTGTATACTTGCAACAGAAATGTTTTGCCTGCATTTAATTTGTGGCATGATGTTTTCATATTATCAGGTTTTCTTTGAGATCCGATAGGACCTTCCACTACCATGTATTTCTCAACTGTTTTATGCTTGACACATAAAGCTAGTAAGACTTGTATTGCTATGCCGCATGAAAAATGGTCTCTAATCTCCTCGGCTTGACATTTTATTACTCGAACTTGGTGTTACCATCTACCTCAATTGATAGCTGCCTCGTGTGTTGTCTGGAGGACATTAATCCTGTTCATTGATGCATTGCCGCCTTGATTCCATGCCTGTTTCAAATTAACCTAGAGAGTAAAGTTTGCAACCAATTAGACTATTGTTTTGTTTTTCCGTGGGCAATGGCTATGAAATGATGCATAACTGGTATGTGAAGTACTTAGTTTTCTAAAAAAGACAGTTTGTATTCTACATTGTGGGGTTCTGTTTGTTTTGTTTGCTGACCATACATATGCATGATACGATCTGTTCACAGAAGTTTCATCTGTTGAGTGTTCAGTATGTGGAAATCATCTGAACTGTTTATCTCATTTTCTTTTGGAGAAAGATTTTTGGCTGTTGCATATGTAAGAGGTAGGTTTTTAGGTTTGGATGATTTGAGCAGTAAATGTGTTGATTTGATTTTTTCATATTGTGGACATATTATACTCCCTTTGATATGATTGGGGTAGTGCTGTTTTTTATTTTTGACATTTTAGCGGATCTCTCTATCTCGTTAATGTTATAGTTTATTTTCCAGATCAGCAAAATTCTGCCGTTCCCAGGCCTTTATCGTTCGTATCGCGCGCGCATCTTCAAGTAATCGGGGGAGGCGCCGAGTACATAGACGAGGCGGTCCTTCCTTTTGTTTCCTCCAGTTGCACATTACTTTGCTGGAGAATGGAGGCCTGGTTGTCTTGGTTGGAGCAAGGAATACTGGTTTTTTGGTACTTCCTTGGCCTAGCATGTTCGAGATAGGAATGCAAAATGGGAGTGAAGTTTCCCAAATCCAATTTTATCGTTCAGGTTCTATGGACTGCCCTGCACACACACTTGCACACCATGTTTTGTGGTTAGATTTTGTTTTTTGCTCTTTCCGGGTGGAATATTAGTCCAAAGAGAACTAAAAGGCGGGCGACCCTGTATGACAATATAGGGGGAGTGGTTTTGTAGGTAGGCAATTGGAGAGCTGTGAGAGAATAGAGGAAAAAACATCATTTTCATGTGCAACGCAATGATCTCAAACTCATTTCTTGACTACATTCTGAGTAAGTTTCAGCTGATCTGATAATGGTGGGTTTTGAATGAAGTAATGAAAAAGGAACAGAAAAGAAGTGTTTTCAAGATTATATTATTCCAATATAAATATTAGAAAATTGGAAATAGAGCATGAAAATACAGGGACGCCAAATAGTTTGCCCAGAAAGGAGACTGAAAAACTAAGACCAAAAATCCAAGCTTACCAAAACTTCTTGTAGTTGTTAGTGTAGTTTTTCTGTAATTGTATTGCAATGGAACATTGATGTTTTATGAATTTAGTTTGTTGATCGAAATATATTATTGTTATAGGATTGGTAGCATATTTCAATTAATATTGGGGGTGGGTTAGGTCCCAGAAGGCTTAAATGAATAGCCATCGTTGTTAAGAACAACTAAGATCTAATGAGAATTTTCGCGTAGCTTTTGGTCTTTGACATCAAAAAAAGGTTGTGATAACGTAACGGGTATGTGATAATTTGGTCCTAGTTAGTGGAAAAAAAAAGACATGGATCTATATTCATTATGTAATCAAAGGATTTTTTTCCCAAAAAATTGAAGAATTTCCCTTGCTTTGTTTTTGCTCTGGTTGTGTGGCACTCCTTGCTCCCTTAAATTAGATTTAAATATTCTTTCAAAAAAAAGAAAAGAAAATATATTCAAATGGCATTGAGAACAATTTTTATACTTGGGCTTGGTTTGGATTTGATTAATATAAGACACGACTCGAATTTGATTCATGTTTTGAACGAGTTGAGTTTGAATAATTTTTTAGGTTTGTTTAAAAAATGAGCTCAAAAAATTTGGCTTGAACTTGTAAAGTTTGACTTGTTTATAAGTAAATTAATTTGAGTTACTTGGGTCCGATTTATTTTGGGCTTGACTCATTTTTTTAAAAAAGTCGAGGTTGAATAATTTTTTAGGTTAGTTTAAAAAAATGAAACTCACACACTCAGTTCGAGTTCACAAAGTTTGATTCGATTATCAGTTTTATTTGTTTGTTGGTCATCCATTGTGAATTTTGAACTTCTGATTGGCAAAAAAATTTGAAAAAAAACTAGGTAAGCCCCATGCCCAATCGGTTTTAATGCATGCTTATTTATTTGAAATCATTAATCATGAAAATAATAAACCAAATAAATATCGTGGGTTCTTCACTAAAGTTGTTATGGTGCGTATCAAAGTTGGACCAACAATGTCTATAAGCTTACTGGTGGAGTTGTTTTTGAACGCCCGCCTTCATAGCAATATCAACATAGCGCGCATGTATATAAAAATCTGGGAGGAGTTAACTACGCATGACCCTTATTTCCTGTCCCGAGCTTCGTTTAAAAAAAAGATACATGAGTATAGGACCACTCTTGACTCAGTTCGGACTTCAGCATCAAGACAAACTCGGCACAGCAACGGCGATCCAGTTGAACAGGGAGAGAGACAATGCAATCTTCAGTCTCTTCTTGTCATGGAAGATCATTTTACAGCACCAGTTTCATACCAAACAGTCACATAAACCCCATCACAACAACCCACCCATCAACATCCAAGTCACTTTCCACAAAATTTTCATTACTTCTTGCAAGCAGATCAGTATCACCATCCCCTTGTCGCTCTCAAACATCACTCAATAAACCCATTTGGATATCAACCCCGAATCTTATTTCCAGATCAATAAATCCCAAACCTGTTCTACTTCCTCCACTTCGTTGCGGCAATTCAGCGAACAGCATAACTACTGGTGATAATGCTAGGAGTTTTTGGGGTCAGATCGAAGCGGTTGGCGAAGCTATATCGACGGCTTTTCCTTTGTGGGTGGCGCTGGGTTGCTTGGTGGGGCTTCTGAAGCCAAGTTTCTATAATTGGGTCCAACCCAAATGGACCATCATGGGTATTACCCTCACCATGCTTGGTATGGGCATGACTCTCACTTTTGACGATCTTCGTGGCGCTTTGGCTATGCCCAAGGAGTTGATCACCGGATTCGTGCTCCAGTACTCGGTTGTTCTTCTCTCTGATCAATTATTCTTCAATGCTTTAGCATTCTATTCCGTATTTCAATGGATAAAATTAACTGAGATTTTTTCATTTACATCTTTATTGTTCTTGGAAATTCCTTTCACATATGCTTTTCATTGCAATGACACAATCTACTGCACGAATGGAACATGCAATTTATTTTCTTCTAACCAATATAGAAGTAAATGCATGTATATTGATATGTGTTAGGGCGTACCCAGTGCAGACTTCCGCAGGGTTTGCGGGATTTGGGGTTGGTTTGATTAATGCTGTCTTACTCTGCAAACAGAGAGACTATTTCCGCAACTATAATCCATAACCTCTAGATCACAATGGATATGTGTTGAATGCAAGATTTAACAAATATGCTGAAATGTAATAACAAGATCAAACGTAGAATCAAAATGAGTGCTGGTAGGAATCTTATGTAATGTAGCAACATTTTCAGCTGGGCATTTTGATGTGGGAAACATAAATCATTTCATTAGTATTTTTTATTTCCTATGTATCTACGGGACATGTTGTTTCATTACAATCCTCAAATTGGCTAGATGAGACCTACTATTTTCCAATCCTTGTTTTGTACAATTGGGATGATGGATTCTCCTTGCAACTGTGGTTCACACTTAACAATTTACAAAACTGTTGGAAACACAACTTCTATGATATGGTTTTCATATATTGGTAAAGCAAATGCTTTATATGGTATCTATTTTCTGAGAAAAGGTAAAATTGGCTCACACATATCAGCATTTTGGATTCTGAGCTGTCTCTAAACTGCTTCTTGTTTTACGTACTTGATTTCCGTTGACTTTTCTGCCACATTTGGAAAGTTTCGACCAAGGGAGATTCCTGCAATATCCTGAAATGAGAGTGGTTCAGCTAGTATGATGCTTTCAGTTTGAGTTCATTTTGAATTTATTTACTAAGAGGTAGACTGGTTTACTGGCTGTAGGTGATGCCATTATCGGGATTCTTTGTGGGCAAACTCTTAAACTTGCCATCCTATTATGCAGCTGGTTTAATATTGGTTGGCTGCTGTCCAGGGGGTAGGAATATGTGTTTTTTTGTGCGTGTATGATTATGTGTTTATCCTCATCTTTTTTATAAGATTTCTCATGTACTGATTTCAGGAACAGCAAGTAACATTGTCACCTATATTGCACGGTAAGTAAATGCTTGGTTTAGATATTTGAATTCAAATAACTTGGGCTGGAGTCTTGATAACCTTATTTTGTTTCAGAGGAAATGTGGCTCTTTCGGTTTTGATGACTGCTGCAAGCACCCTATCTGCCGTGGTTGGTAACCTAATGTTTATCTTCTTTGGTTGGTGTTGGATTCTATTTCCTTGAAAATGAATACAAAATTACTTTCTGATTAACTCCTACTATGCTTTTATTTTACTCAGTGAATTACTTTTCTTTCAATGAATAGTTATGATAATCATCTTGCAATTTTTCTTGATTCAGTTTCTCTCCTTTTACTTGAATTACTTTCAGAAAAAAGAAATAACATGAATGGACAGCCTGAAGGGAGCTCTGTTTCTTAGTCTAAGAATACTGTGCATCTGAAAACACTTTATAAGAAGTTACTTGTATTCCATGTCGTAAAACATTGCTCTTTACCCATTGGAGTTCCTCTTGCAGGTCATGACCCCCTTTCTTACAGCCAAACTTGCTGGGCAATATGTTGCAGTTGATGCAGTTGGACTCTTTAAGTCCACTCTGCAGGTGAATCTGCTGATCTGCCCCCTAAGTACTTAATATGAATTCTTGTACTTCTGTTATTGTCATCATTATAATGCCTGCAAATTACATAGGTCGTGCTTCTTCCTGTTTTGGCTGGAGCATTTCTAAATCAGTATTTTCAGAGCCTTGTTAAATTTGTTTCTCCATTGATGCCGCCTATTGCTGTTGCAACCGTGGCTATTCTTTGCGGACATGCAATTGCTCAGAGTTCTTCTGCAATCCTTATGTCTGGCCGCATTGTGGTTCTAGCTGCAGTTCTTCTTCATGCATCTGGATTTTTCTTCGGTTACCTGCTTTCAAGGATTCTTGGGCTTGACGTGTCATCTTCAAGAACAATATCTATTGAAGTTGGCATGCAGGTAAGCTGTTATCTTTCAAAGCAGGATATTCTAAAGTTTGAGTTACTTTTTTCTTTTATTGAACTTTCGTAGCACTCTGCTGCATAAAACTGACGGATGCATCAACATCTCTTAAACATTGACAAACAAAGTCAAATGATAATTCTTTCTTTGGTGTAATGATGTAGCCTACTATCCGTAGTCTCCTAGGTGCCAAATAACATAATTCCTTGGTGATGTTTTACTACATCCGTTTTACAGATACTGCTATATGTTGCTTTCATGAATGTAGTGTTTTAAAGTTTCTCAAAAAAGCATTTGAAAATGCTCATTGAGAGGAAGTTTAAATCAAGAGGTGACATACTAAAAAGACCTGATGTAAGGTTAATGTGCAGCGACAAGGGTGAAGGTTTTGTTGTGAAAATAGAGATGAAATTTCAACAAAATATATGTTAAAATGATTTGTTATGATTATGGGATGAAAAGTAAGTGTCAAACAAAATTCGGGTAACTCTGCCCAACATGGTATAATCCAGGAAACCACTGGCTGGGCAAAAAATTTGATAACTAGGTTGCTGTCACTGGCGTTTGGTTGGATGATGATACAAGTTATTTTCCTTCTTTTTTTTCCACTTGTGGTTGGAAAAATAAAATGACAATAAAGGAACTGAACCCTTCAATTTTTTTCCTTATATTTGTTGAGCTGGGGGGTTCACATTGTCATGTTTTCTCTCGTTTTGCTTTCAGAACTCGGTGCTTGGAGTCGTCCTCGCAAGTCAGCATTTTGGAAATCCGTTGACTGCAGTACCCTGTGCTGTTTCTAGCGTTTGTCACTCGATTTTCGGAAGTGCCTTAGCAGGAATCTGGAGACGCTCTATCCCACCCCAAACAAAAGATTGAGATGCCATAAAACCTGGAATTTTGGACACAGCTTTAGAAAAGAAATTGGGTTGTTTCTTCCCTTTGTTAGAATCTGTAAAATTTTGGATTGTCCGAGGTGAATTAGGTTTATTCACACATTGCTAATTTCTCTGTATGCCTTCATTTATGTCTTGTGGTGTGAATTCATCAATATGAGGTCAAGTGTTGGGATTCGGATCGTTTGCAATTAATTTTTTAATAATAGGGGTGTTGTTCTTCAAAACATAGTCTCATTTTATTAGGCACAACAACGTTGTTGTGAATGTCGTTTTGAGGAACAACACCTCTACACAGGTGATGTTCTTCAAAACAGTCTCATTTTATTATGCACAACGATGTTGTTTTGAATGTCATTTTAAAGAACAATACCTCTACCGTAAAACAGAGGATCTAGACTTAGTGTTGTATCATTCCAAAAACGGAGAAAATACTCGATGCAAAAGTGACAGTATGTTATAACCGTCACTTGGTGTTGTGTGTCACCATCCAATTGGAAAACTATAAGTAAATAAAGTAAATTTCATTAATTCTATGTATTAATAATTTGATGTGATGGTTATTAATAGTTATAAAAATAGTAGTTTGATGTGATGGTTACTAATAGTTATAAAAATAGTAGAATTTATTTTGTTCACTTGTAATTATCTAATTGGATGATGACAGTGACACCACGTGACAGTAATAACGTGATGTCACCGTTACATTGAATATTTACCCAAAAACGATGCTAGATGAATTGATTATAATTCTAAATTTAGTTAGAGTTCCAATAGAAAATGAAGTCAATTTCAAAGTTGCCATAATCCAATGGGTACCTATTATATCTTTGCTTAGTCTTCGTATTTTGAAATTTGCATGTCTTCCGGTGTTGCATAGCGAAGTAGGGTTTTTTTTCATTGAATTTCAGGGGAATTAACCAGATAAATAAGGATTAAAATTTTAGTTAGGCGCATTGTTTCAAACATTTAGGAAACGGAAATGTTTTGATGTATTTGGAAAACGTTTCAATCCGTTTTGAAAAAAGAATGAAAAAATAAAAAATTTAAGAATTATATTTTCAAAATATTAGTTAAAATATATCAAAATATCTTAAAATCCTTTGAAATATTCCAAAATAATAGTGTAAATGCATTAAAATATTATAAAAAATCTCGAAATATTATGAAACACCTCTAAAAATTAGAATTTTGATTTTATCACTGATTCATTTTGATCTCCTTAAAAATAAAAACGTGTAGGATATTTTAAAATGAAATTTTGATCCTTGTTGATAAAGAGGGTAGGTGGATAGAGAAGAAAATGCGGGATTTGGAGATTGAGATCGGGATATTAAGGTCTTGTTTAAATTATATCTCAAAAATCAATAACCGAAAACAGAAGTTTCAAACAAGTAAATCGTCAAAATAATTATTAGTAATAACTAATTCAGCTGATTTAATTCCCGCCAAATTCAAACGTCAAAACTACCCAAATTCCCTGGTGATATTCGCATCTCCAGTTTCCTTATTCAGACCTCAACCCCCGAGTTTCCCATAATTCCCGAAAACTGTCAAACCCAATCTCTCTCTCTCTCTCTCTCTCCACAAAAAATGGAGGGCAAGTTTCATGGACTACCTACCCTCAAAGGATTCAGGCTCAAGCAACAAGGAGAAGATAAACACCAAGAACACGAAGACGATGGCGTGACTTCAGAGCGCCTTCCAGTGAAAACCCGGAAAGAATTCCGAGATCAACCACCAGTTTCCCTCAATTCCACCATTACCACCACTTACTGCATGCCTGCCAAGAAGAGGGTTTGGGCTCCTTCAAAATCCAATCTCATCACCGGCGAACCCATTTCACATTTCAACCTAATTGTCGAGTACATTTTTTTTTTGTCGAGTACAAGCCCATCGTCTGATGAAGATGGTGGCTTCAAAATAAAGGAACAGCGCGAAAAAGAAGCTGAGAAAGTTAGAGAAGAAAAAGAAGATGGTGATGATTTGAATGTCTGTGCTATTTGCCAAAGCACAGATCTCCCATCAGATCCAATTGTGTTCTGTGATGGCTGTGAAAATACCTTACGGAGGGTTTCCCAGAACTGGATTGGTTTTGTACCCAGTGCTTGGCTTTCCAAAATCTTTCAAATCAAAGAAGTTTAGGGCCTTATATCGCGGTCTCTACCAGTTAGGGGTGGTGCAATGAAGCCCACCAACGATGGCCAAGGGGCTCATATCGTCTGTGCCCTTTTGGTTCCTGAGGTCTTTTCAGTGACCCGGAAGACATAGAAGCCATTGAACTCGGAACAGAGGGGCTATGTTTGTGACTCTGCAAGTAGTTTTCCTCTTGATTGTTCCGAGCCAAAGTGTCCATTTTCATGTTACATATGGGTCGAAGGAAGATCTTTGTATTGAGTACAGAGAAGGGAGGAACAAGGGGGGCCATTATTGCTTTGTTATGCAACAGCCACACTGATCTGTGGACAAAGGTACATTTCTTCAACAATTAATGGTTTTTTTCTTCTGTTTTCAAGGTGTTTGTGTGTTTTTCGTTAATATACCTGCACAATTGATGAATGTGGTTTTGACAGAGGGTATTGTCCGATTTATTTATTTTTTAGTTTAAAGTTCACGTTGTCTAGATCAACTTACGGATACTTGACTAATCTTCTCTCCGGTCCAACTAAAAACAGGTCATCTACGTCAAGACTAGAATTCCTAGTCTTAAAAGGTTGCCAAATTTTAAAGTTAATATATGTTTGTTCTGTTATCAATTGAGTTACTCTTACGGTTGATATTGTTGGATTTGCAGCAAGTTTGAGATTGTGGCTGTAGACGAGGACCAAAACTAGAAGGAATTTTGGGGCTCGAAACTTTCATGAACGTAGGAAATGGTTTACTTGGGCTCTTGTGGTGCATTACGGTTAGTTTGTGATTGGTGACTTTGTCATGAATTTTTGTTTGGTTTTATTAGTTTTGGTAGTGTTATAAAGTGGGTCTGTCCTTTTTCATTGGTTGAACTGGCGTGAGCAAGCTAAGGAAATCAAATCTCTCACGAAAAGTTAAGGGTGACAATTATGTTTCCGTCGAGCAATTTTAGGTTCTTATCGGATAATATCATTTATTTAGTTAATCGTGTCAAATATTTTGATACTAGTTTGACTTGTTTATTGATAATATTTTGTTCGAATTGATCTATATAACGCATGAATGAAAAATTGATGTGGAAAACGGGTAGAAATAAGGGTATAATTAAGGAAAAATAAATAATAGTAATAAACCGTTAATTTGTGCACAAATATCAGCTTAGATTTCTACTCTAAGACTGTTGATTCACAAACAATACCAGTTCTAAAGGTTTCAATAACTCTGTTGAATCCTAAGAATACCAAAAAAATTGGAAAGAAAAGTGACAACAATCGCAATTGAATTCAATAATCCAAAACTATTTTGCCTTAAGGCTTACAAGACATTAAATAGTAGTTAAAAGCCTAAAACAATAAGGAAACTAGAATCCTAAATAAATTAAGAAACCAAATAAAATTAAATTCTAAAATTAAATTGGAATATAAAATAAAATAAATTCCTAATTAAATTAGGAAATAAAATAAAATCTTCTAGAATTTCTTAATTGAACGACATTGATCACGTTCAATAAATTATCAAAATTCTTGTCACTTATACCCGTTTGATCGGCTTGATTCGCCTCGATATTTATCCCAACGATCCAAGTATTGTATTACGATCAGATCTCCACAACAAATGCAATACTAGATATTTTTGTATTTTCATCAAACCATTAAGTATAGGTCTTTACAAACTAAAAAGTTCACTTTATCCAGATGTGTATTCACAAAATATCATATTAAGCAATGGAAAAAATGAAAACAGAATTGAATATTTCCTTTAGACAATATTATTAGCTTGTTGGTTATTCATGTCATTTGGTCGTGTTATTTTATTATTCGTGTTTGAAAATTAATTAATTTTGGATTTGCATTTATGATGAACTTTAATGCATGAATTCCTCAGAAATTCTGTTAGCAAATAATGGTTATCACTATTTCATTTGATGGGTATTTGTTTCACACATGGAAACGAATTTCTCACCAAGCTTACCTAGTCAAAAATCCTATTCATGCGAGACATAAGTATATCTGTTTTTTGATAGTGTTTATGTAGAAAATTTGTCTCTTGAGTAGCTGTGGATATGACTTAGTTAAGATTCTTTGGAAAAATAGAAGTAGTACATTAAGAAGTTGGCTATGAATACCCATTATTAGACTAGGATAATCTAGTATTTAAGATAATTCAACCATCATACCAAAGGGTGATTCTATTTTAAACTCTTAATCATGAAAGATATTTGACCAATGAGGCCAGCTTATTTTTATCCGAATTATTTTAGCTGGGAAGTTGAATTCAATTCGATTGTGAACTCCATTGAAGGGTTTTTTTTCTCCTTATAAATAGTGGTGAGTCACAAAATTCCACTTAAGTACTACTTTTAATACTCTATTGATATTGATTTAAATATCGGAGGATCTCGAGTGAGTTTAGGATCAGCTCATCATAAGCTTTAGAGAGGATTTTATCCCACAAAGTATCCAATTTACTTCAGTTCATCACCAAGTTGTTATTACAGAGATCTCTATGATGGGAAGGATGGTTTCCTGGTGGTTTTGTTGCATTTATTTTGTTGTTCTTTTCCTTTCTGGATCGTTTGTGTTGTCCTCAAACGAATATATATCAGCAATAGGTGACCCTGGAATGAGAAGAGATGGTCTCAGAGTGGCGATCGAGGCATGGAATCAATGCAATGAGGTGGGTGAAGAAGCTCCCAACATGGGAAGTCCCAGGGAGGCAGATTGCTTTGATGTCCATAATTTCAGAAAACACAGTGAGTTTTAGCTTGCTTTTTGTTACATTGCTATGGTTTATATGTGAGTATTACTTTCATACGGGTGTGTGCTAAGCATAGAGACTGATTTAAGCATTTGTGCAATTACCAAGTCTACCTATTCAAACAAATTTGGTGATAAATTTCTCACCCACATAATTTGTTTCGGTTGCTTTGAGCAAATTTCTTACCAATTCATTAGATCGGAGCGATAAAAATTAGTACGTTATGAGTTTGAGTCCCCTAGTCTCATAAATCTTATGGCAGAAATGTTTAATGGATGAACATGGTTAGTGGGTCGTCTGAGGTTTGTGTTGCAAAGTCCAAAAGACACATGGTCAATTCACCAGTACAAGAAAAAAACACGTGAGTGGGGGTGATTCTTCCTTGTCTGGCACTGCAAGTTTGGTTGTTATCAGCCCAACAAGATTAGGCAATGAGCAATGCCAGGCAGGAAGTTTAGCTTGCATATAACCACAATCTCTCACTTACAGATGACAATGCACCGGAGAAAAATAGATATTCATTTAGATTAGGGATGAACTATACATATAAATTCGTGCGAAGATGAATTGAAACTCATCCCCCCCCCTGCATTCGTGCGAAGATTATATATATAATCACAAAGACACAAATCCCACCCATCCACTTGTCACACAAACACAAACACACACACACTCACACTCACACTCAACCAGTCGCTTCTCTCTTTCTCAGTTCACCACCGACTTAGATCTGAGGTATTTCTCTCTCTCATGCACTCATCTACAACTCACACCGACAGACAACACACATGCAGCACACATTTGTTATATAATGGGTTTTCATCATTCTTGTAGATCTATTTATGAGGTTTTGTGGTTTTTTTATTTTTTTTAAATCATAGAAATTAATTGATAGGAATGGGGACGGAGACGGCGGTTGGGAGTGGACTGGGGGTAGACGAATATTTTTGAAGTAGGTATGTGGGACAACCCCCGCCCCTGCCCCCTGCCCACCGAGATCCCTACTCTCACTAGTCAATCAGACATTTCATCCTTCAAATTGCTTTATTAATTTGCAGTATTGTCAATTTTTAATGTACCTTATCACTTGATATAATCTTGCAGTGAAGCTAGTTCACAGAGTGAACGAGAAAGTGAATAAATTGTCAAACGCCACAATCCAAGGATTAGGCAACATGAATGTTAATCAGTTTGCAGCATGGAAAGAGAAATACTTAGGCTACAAATGCCAAGTACAAGAATTTCCCAAGCCATGGCAGTTTTGGATGATAATGCTCAAGAGTGGCAACATGGACACATTAGCCGCCGTATGCCCTGAAAATGGCAAGAAATCAAAACCCTTTCCTCCGACGCCCCGGTTTCCATGCTTTGGCAAAGGTTGCATGAACATGCCACTGATATATCACAATTACACAAGTTTACAAGGAAGAACCTTAAGTGGAAGATTCTATGGAACATGGGATTTGGATGCTGATATTAACAAGGCAGCTACCAAGAATGACACTTCCTTCTATTCAGTGACTTGGAAGAAGGAGCTTGGAAAGGGAAGTTGGGTTTTCCACCATGTCTTGAAGACTTCATCAAAGTACCCCTGGTTGATGCTGTACTTGAGGTCAGACGCCACAACAGGATTCTCCGGCGGGTATCATTATGAAACAAGAGGGATGTCAAAAATCGTAAGTCTGAGAACCAATTCCTTGTACCCTCATTAATGCAGTGTAAAGCTCTTTATATCCTTAACATTTTGTTTAAATCCTCATCTAACATCAGTTTTATCCTGGATTTTACTGGAAATCATAGGTCCCAAAGTCACCAAATTTCAAAGTGAGATTCACACTAGATATAAAGAAAGGAGGGGGTCCAAAAAGCCAGTTCTACCTCATGGACATAGGTAGTTGCTGGAAGAACAACGGGCAGCCATGTGACGGGGATGTGACCACAGACGTTACTCGATACAGCGAGATGATCATAAATCCCAGTATAGAGGCATGGTGTAAGCCCGACAAGCTCGACTCGTGCCCACCATATCACACTCTTCCCAATGGAACTCTTATCCACCGGTCAGACAGGCAAAACTTCCCTTACGACGCTTATCACATATATTGCTCTCCAGGGAATGCCGAGCACCTTGAGGAGCCATATAACCTGTGTGATGCTTATAGCAATCCTCAACCTCAAGAAATACTACAGATTGTACCTCACCCTGTATGGGGAGATTATGGATATCCCACAAGGAAGGGTGAGGGTTGGATTGGAGATTCAAGAACTTGGGAGCTTGATGTTGGAAGACTTTCACAGGCATTGTACTTCTACCAGGTATGAAGTTGCAAGGGACCTCCATATAACAAAGTTATTGTCTTTGTACTTAAAAAAAACAAATATACAAACATTCTGTACGAGAACAAAAATATGCTTTAAACTGTCTACAGTTGTAACAAATTTGAGTTTACCTTGGACCCTGTCATGCTTTGAATTGCAATAACATTTTGGTGTCTTTGTGATAATGCAGGATCCAGGCACTAAACCTGTGGAAAGACGATGGCCATCGATCGACCTGGGGACCGAGATATATGTCAGTGGAAATGAAATAGCTGAGTGGACTGTGAGTGATTTCGACATTATAGTTCCGAAAGAAGATAAACAATTATCCTAGTTGCAAACCATCTCAGGAGGAATTTTTAACATCTTGGAAATCCATAGATTTAGGTATAGTTTTTCTTTTTGGTGTGAGGTTTAGGTATAGTTTGATAGCTTTTTAAGGTATTTTTTTATTTTTAAGAAATATTCAAATAGTTTTTTTTTTCTACCTTTAAGTCTAGGCTTCCTCCTTTCCTCTGACATTCTGCATATATATAACTCTGGTATTCAAACAACAGATATAGACAAATCACATTCAAAGCTCGTGGTTTTTTGTGATCTTCAAAGTAGTTCAAGTCTGCCTCATCCCATTCTGATGGACAAGTACAACATTGTGACCCATTTTTACTTTACGAATTTTTTTTTTGATACCATAGAGGAACTGCTACATTCTCAAGTGGGGATGATAGATGTTTGTACTTCAGAATTAAGTTTTTTTTTTTCTGTAATGTGCTTAGTTTCAAACTACATTTGTGTCTCATGGTTGAGATTTTCCATCTAGTCCCTGACTCTAGGTCATTACAAGTGAAATTCAACGGAAATCAAGAAAGAAAATGGATAGGATCTGTGTAACTCATTGGAGCTTTGCCATATCCTTCAGATCTTCAGGTCACAATTCAATGACCAACGCTTGTTTGACATGTCTCAGCAATCTTTTTTTTTTTTTGGTCAGGAAGATGGGGGAGAGGGGCGACCATTAGGTAGTGCTCTCCTGGTAACGACCATGAAGGCCTCTCCTGATGCCGAATGTTTGGTTAGCCAAAGCAATCAAAAAAGTAAACCTTAATAGAAGAATTTCCAAAATTCATAAATTTACCAAACATAATAAAATGAAAACAAAGAAACCATTATGATGTGCTTTACGTATATTAATCAACATGGAACCTAGTATTTGCATTACTACGAATAAGGGTATCAAAATACGACACAAACACGATTAGTCAAAAAAATATATACAATACGATTCGTCTATATACTAGTTATACATTATTCATATACAACACGAACCTAATATGACACTATTTATTAAACAATAAATAATAAACGAATTCGATATGGGGGAAATGTTTTTTAACACGAACCTGCTACTTTAGCTCGGTCCTACATTCTAGTTATTGATTAAAGGAGGAAATAAAAGAGAGACAATTTAAATAAAGGAATCTAAAGTTCAACAAGTTAATGAGTTACTTCCGTGCTAAATTGAAAAAGAGGGGGTTGAGGGTCGGGGTTGGTTGATACAGTCTTATTTATGTGAAAAATGAGCCAACCTAGAAAAAGAAACATCCTCAAAGAGATCCAAGAAGATCCAAAACTGATTTTCTATCTGGCATGCTTGGAATGGCTCCCTTCACTTGAACACAAAGAGAGGCTGCTGCAGCTGCAAATCATCAACAACTTTGTCAGACCAACGAGGATTAACAAGTTAAAGGAACAAAAAAAGAGATCACCATGCATATATACCAGCAAATCTCAAGCATTCTTTTTTTGTTTTTCCCTCCACAAGAGCCACGGCAAACGCCGCGGTAAAAGTATCACCAGCTCCAGTTGTATCAAGAACCTTTGTAGCTGATATAATGGGCTGTTTAATAGGTTCTTCTCCTTTGATAAACAGAGCTGACCCTTTGTCCCCAAGTTTCACGAGAACTTGCTTAACGCCCTGGAAGCACAATCATGTACTTTTGAAAATAACTATGACGCCTTTCATAAAATGGTTGCATACCGACTTTGCTCTATTCTACATAACTGAGCACACACACACATAAAAATAAAATAAAATAAAAACCACCCCACCCCATGCAATAATATCAAATTCTAGTGATGATCAAAGATATAAAATGGGAAAAACATATTTCATGATGCAAGGACAGGATAATAAAACAAAACCATAGGATGTGTAGGTTTGTTGAAACTCACCATTTCATGGCATTTTACCACAGCTTGACTAATGTGTTCAAAACTTTCAGTTGACATTCCAGTGAGACGAGCAAGTTCAGTTTCATTTGGGCTTAGAATATCAATGAATTTCACTAGTTCTGGCGGGATTGGTGCATCCACTCCCCCACAATCCAAAATGACCGGAACACCTGCACCACTGGCAACCTGAAGATTGAAATTAGGCCCACAAAATGTTAAAAGGTCATACAACCATTAAAACTCAATAACCTCCATGCATAACATAACCCACGCCCCCAACATGTAACTCATCTTGACATGAGCGATCTTAAAATTAAAAAGGAACCAAAGCACAGAAGCAAACAAATCAAACAAATAAGAACAGCAACATCTAAATTCCAGTGAAACTAGCATTTATGCACCGACAAAAAAGAACACATGTATGCAAAACCGGAAAACCCCACCCACCCTACACGTAACAGAAAACAGAACAGATACCAAAGAAACCAAAATATTTTTTCTCCATTCAGCTGAAAGCAGAATAAGTACTGGAGTCCTACAAAAATACCATAATGTTGAGATTAGAATCTTGCCTAGCTGTTGTAATGCATCACATTTATGAAAAACACAAAAACAAGATAACTGACAAAATAAGAACTCCTCTGTTTGAGAATGAAGTGTGACAACTCCAAGAAAGCGTGTTATCACATCATTCGTAGAATCTACTTAATGGTTTATGCCCAATTGGGAAAGGCTTATGAATACGATTTGGAAATGTTATCTTAATTGCTTTTACTATTATACAAAACTACATATCGTTATAAGCCCGTACAGACAGTCAATTAGTATCAATTTTACATTTGTGATCATTTCCCATTATCTGATATTATATATAATTAGAAATTACACATCCATACACCTAGCTGATTAATACTTATTCTATCTATGTGATATGGGTTGCAAAACAAATCAACTGGGAATTAGGCTTACAATTTGGTGTCAAAAATTTAGGTGGCGAACCCACCCCCATATGGGGTCGTTGTAGCCAGATTGTGTGTCATCTGGGGTTAAGCAATTCCTGATAACTGTGATTCAGCCGTATGCCTGAGCTTTGCACCAGTTTGAATTGTCGATTGTGAAAGGAAATTTTACTAATTCCTTGGTGTAACACCTTCATCATTTAAATTATTTACATTTTTAATCTTTTACTTGGGAAAAGAAGATATCTTCCAAAAACGAGTCATTCCATCTTGCTAACATCACAAGTTGTTAATTACAGTAACCCATAAAAGCAAAAACTCCACCTGTTCAATTTGTGATTCAACTGATCTTAATGCATCTTAAGCCACATTCATTTTCTTACTGAGCAAATTTTCATCTGTAGTGCTTTCTCTAAAAGCCATACAAGCAAGCTACAAGAGACCAAGCCTCTAGGACACTAAGATGGGTGACAGACCTATCTTCCACCTAATCTAGAAAGTCAACTAGGATAGTAAGGACCAAATCTCTAGCACCTGTAAAACTTGTTACCATACACAAAATACTTGAGCCTCTGCCATTCTTCAAAGGCCAATCCCTTTCTCAAGTTCCATACCTGCATACCGCAACATTCCTCCACATGCCACCTTTATCCACCAATCTGGGGAATCGTCGTTTGAACTTGGAGCAATGAAACTTCAAATCAAACTTAGGGCTGGAAACAACATAGGTAATATGGAGCGGTGAGCATATGTCGTCTAATATGCATAAATTAACAGAGATGAAGATAAATGCCAATAATCTGAGCAGTCTCCCCAATAACCTGCTAGTCCCTCATCTTGTTCCCCCAAGTAGCATATTGTCTTAAAAACCCTGAGGTAATCAATTGTCATTTTTTCCCTCTAAGAATAAGACTCTATACTTTTATATCTGCATGCTTAGTTGTTTGCAAAATCATCAATAAAGCTGTGCACTATAAATGTTATTTCAAACAATGAATTCTAAAATGCTCTTTAACATTTTTCCTTGCTTCATATTATTTCAGAACCTCTACAGCACTGAATCAATTTGTCAACCTAAATTTATCCACCATTTCCTGATTGATAAAAAACTGTTTCCTCTATGACCCAATCCATTCTGATAATGTTGCAAACATCTGTAATTAGATTAACATACTCCTTTAGTCTGAACCATGAATTTCAGCCCTTGACCAACCCAGCATATTCAGCTAATCTGCTCCAGCTAATTCAAACATCAACACCATGCTAGCTCATCAATCAGACTCTTCTTCCTTAGACCTAGTTTTTCAGCATGCACACATCAACTCCAAAAGTGTCATAACATAAACTCATTAGTATATGTTCAATAAAAGATCAATCATCATTGAATCTATAAGCAAGATTCCATCATCACTAAAAAGGACCCCATTTAGTAATTCCACTTTGCAAAGTCAATTTCATATTCAAAATGACACGGGTTTCCGAAGGGGTTTAGAATATCCCTTTGCATGATTAGGCTATTTAATAGGGACATGTGGCAAAAGTAAGAAGGGACAATTTGGTGAAGGTAGAGTGTCTCTGGCGAGGCCAAAGATAGTACAACTGAGCAGAAATCAGTGTCAGCCAACCAAAATAGGAGTCACCCTCAGTAAACGGTTCAGTTAACTAAGCTTCCGAGTAGTTTGTGCAGACCGAGCAAGTGTGGAAGACACTTTGGATAGATCAGCACCCGAATGGGACTCTGGTTCCACTGTTCAAGGACTAGGTCCACCTGAGCAAACGATAGTTAAGCTAAGCCAATGACCAAAGGCGGTCAAAGCAACCAGTAAGAAAATTGCCTATTTTAAAGGTGTATATTATTAACATGTGACCTAAAAAGTCGACTAAAGAGAAAAGAAACCTAGGATGGTTCAATCACGGATTTGGAAGATCTGGCTGGAAAATAGGTAAACATATGTGACCAAAAAAGTCGACTAAAGGAAAAACCTAGGGAAGTTCATTCACGGATTTCGAAAGATCTGGCTGAAAAATAGGTATGCCACTCTATTCCAGCCATTCCATACCCCAAAAGCCGAGGTACACTCCTATAAACACTCGATGAGCTTAAGTCTACGATAGACACTCCTTTCCTGGCTAACCATTGATCACCGGATTGCCTCCAACCGGTCAAATTCCGGTCTGTGGTAGTTTGTTCGTCTTGTAACGGAAGGTGCAACTAGTTTATTTGGATACATTCATTAAGAAATTTTCCCTCATACAGTTTCGACCACAAATTAGAAGTATTCAATCCGAAATGGTGATCCATATAAAACATTGAAAAGTCATCATCCACAGAGATTTGTATATGAATGTAACTGGTGCTAAAAGTTGAAATTTAAAATCAAAAGTCTCACCTTTGCAACTCGAATATTAACTGAATCTGGGATTTCCCTCTGAAGCAAAACAATCCCAGCATTTCTTATAACCTCCAAGTCCTCGTCCGAGAGAATTTCAGGCCAACAAGACATGTTGGCACCCCCAACAATGATGATAGAGTTCTGCCCATCAGATTGGAGCATCACCACAGCATGGCCAGTAGGTGCAGAAGACACAGTGCTCAAGTGATCTATGTGGACCCCACCATCCTCGAGTGCCTCAGTGATCAACTTCCCATTAGCATCCTCACCAACCTGTCCCACAAAATAAGTTGGGTACGAGAGCTTCCCACCACACACAGCCTGGTTTGCCCCTTTCCCACCAGCAAGGGTCTCACCACTCTTGGCTGAAATCGTCTCACCCTCCTTTGGGAGTCTATCAATCTCCACATATACATCTGCATTGGCTGATCCAACAACTACCAAAGGTGGTGTATTTGGATTGTGAGTTGGTGAATTTGGGGTTTTGGAGGCTTTAATGGCGAAAGAAGGAAAAGGGTTAACTCTTTTTGATGATGAATTTATGTGTATTTGATTTGGGTTTGAATTGAGTTTTCTGTCCGATTGTTTTGTGAGGTTGTTTTGGGTTTTTGGGTGCCAACATTTTGATGGTGAAAGCGATGCAATACCTCTCATCGTCCCCAAAGTTTCTCTCTCCTCACTCCGGTTCTCTGCTCTCTGAATCATGGTTTGGTGGAGTTTTTGTTCATGAGAGTGACAGAGACTGTGAGGTGGCTACTGGTCTTCCAGATGACGCTCTTTGACATCAGTGAAGGACACGCTCTGAGATAGAGCTGAGATACCACCATTGTTGAAGCCTAGAATGGCGCATACGATAAGTTTACGACTCAATCGTTGCAGCCTTGGATGCGGGGTCTCACTCGAATGATGAGAGAGAGAGAGACTAAGTGGTCACCCCAAATTCCTTGACAGGTGATACAAAAAAAAGGGTAAAATGCATAAGAAAAACCTTTCTGCTTGTGGTTAGCGAATTTAAATTTAATTAATTAGATATTAATTTATTTTATTGATAATTTAAATTCGAATTTAGTATCCTATATTTCACATATTTTATTTAAAAAAATTTGTTAAAAAGTTGGCAATTAAGTTATTTGGATCAGATTATTAATGTATTCAAATATGAGTCGCATAAATAAAATTCGTTGTACAATTCATATTATCGAATTGAATTCGAATCAAACTTTTAAAGTTGAATTCAATATGATCGTAATTCTAATTCAAACACGATTTATTGATAGATCTACTTATGATTGATTAGAAGCAATCTCTAGTTTTAACTGTTATACTAAGCCTCTATCTCTTTGAACATACAGTACCACAATGGATATCTCATTTGTTATAAAATTTAAGGAGAATTATATTCAAGTCTCTTCATATTTGTCATTTAATCATTTAAATTCTCTTATATTTAAAATATTATACATAAATTTTCCAAGGTTTGTAAACATTTATGCTCCGTTTGGTATGATGAAAAAATAAAAAGATGAAAAATTGGAAGGATAAATAAAACATCATGTTTGATATAGAAGAAAAGTAGGAAGGATGAAAAAGTTGATATATTAACTTTCCTTTCAATTCACTAAAATCAATCTCTCCAAAATAAGAACAAGTGGATGAAAAGTTAATTATTTGTATTGAAATGTATTTTATTTGTCTATATATCTTTTTATATAAACATTAATTTTATATAGAAAATAATAATAAAATAGGTATTTATAAATATATATATATATATATATATATTTTAACAAAAATTTAAAATAAAAAAAATAAAAAATTTAGATTAAAAAATATTTTTTCCATCTTAAATAAGGGTGAAAATTTTTGACTAATACGATGATACGGCTTGAACTTGACACGATTTTTATGACACGAACTTGATTAATTCAAACACGAACACGACACGACACAATTAATTAAATGAGTTGAGTTAGGTGTGACTAATTTTTGATACAAACCCATAATGACTCAACACGAATCTAACTCGATTGTCACTCCTAATCTTAGCCAACACAAAAAAAAAAAGTCATTTTAATTTTTCATCCATCCAACTAAATATAAAGGAAGAAAAGTGTATCATTCTTACTTTCCTGCCTTAAATGATAGAAAGTGTATCCCTTAGACTTTCATCATTCTTAATTTTCATCCTTCCTACCAAACGCAGCATTAGACTACTACAGTAAATCTATTAATAAACTATATCCCAACCCCCTTGAAGTTTATAAGCGTGTAAGATTCTCTAATATTACAGGCATACAAATCTCCAAGAATTTTTGTGTAATATCTATATAATAAAGTAGTTTACAATTCAAATCTCAAAAAATAAACAAAATAATTTTTGTTATTCGCGATTGAGATCGTTTTAAATTTTACTTTAAAATTAATCTAACGACTAATATTAAAACTCCAAATTTAATAGGAAAAAATAAGGCTCTAAGAGTTTGTTTGGAGTAATTTTTTAAAAGTATTTTTATGAATTATTTCTCATAAATACTTTAAAAAAAATATATTGTTTTGAACCGCTCCACCACTACTACTACCACCACCACAACTTCCACCTCCATTGCCGCCACCATTGCCACTGCCGCTGCCATCATTGCCACTGCCACCGCCACAGCTGTCACCACCATCGCTGCCGCTACCACCATTGTCATTGTTGCCACCACCACCGCCACCACAACTATTACTGTCTCCTATCACAACCACTACCACCGTCTACTATCTCTCACCCCCATTACAAATCGATGTTTAAATTTTTTTATCTTTTCTTTATGTTTGTGATTTAATTTTGAATATAAATATAAATATATTTATTATTTACCATTTTTTATTACTCTATATCTTCAGGCACATGCAATAACTAGTTTTAAATATCAGAGCCTAAGTGATAAAGTGACAAACTTTAAAGGATTTAAGTATAATTCTCCCTAAAATTTATAAAAACTCCAAAATACCCACATTTAGCCCCTTAATTTTTATTCCGGTACCCTTCTCTCTCAATACCTTACCATATCTCGTCCGCCCCATAACCAGAATCAATATAACACACTAGCATCTTGTCACTCCTTTCGGAATCCCCCAAACTATTTATCTTCACAAACCCTGCAGAAATTTTGAATCATCCTCCCAAATTCAGTTCTTAAATTACCCCTCACACAATCTTAACCCAATTTTCACAAATCTACCACAACCACCACCGAAAATCCCATAGTCATAGGGATTCACAAACTTAACAATCGTTGTAATTTCCTGAGCATGATTGAATCTTTTCTCCATCTTTCACTGCCTTGGCAGATTGTTCTTGTCTTAGTGGTTGAATTTTGTGTAACTATATAGGTACTTTTATTTTGTTGCGAATAAAACAATAGGTTTAAATAGTCTGATGTCACTATTGTAATTTTAATTTAATTTTTTATTGAACATATTATTGTTTAGTGGTATTATTTTTTATTGGACATGTTACTTTTTAATATTACTATTTTTTATATATATAATAAAAAAATAATTTTAATATTAGTATAATTTCCAAGTTAAGAATTGTTATATTTGAAAATATTAAAACTAAGAATGACAGGTAGTATTTATGGTAGAAGTAATTAGATAATAAAAAAATTAAAATGTGAAATTATTGACAATAATTTAATAAAAAAAAGATTTAATGGAGTATAAGACTGTGATACTTAAAATCAAATAAACTTTTAGAAAAATATTCACGATCAAATATTCAAAAAACTATAGTTACAGATGAGATGGGCCTCATAATTAGGCCCACCATACCAGCCCATGTCAACGTGGCCTCTGAAAAAGCCTCCCCCGGTGTCAGTGGACACCAAAAGGCCACGTGTCTATGTAGAAATTCAGGTACTTACTGGACCATGACAATGTCATGTATCTGAAGATTTGACCCACACGATAATCAATGAAAAATGAAACTGTGGACCCAGCATTAACTACTGTTTATCTTGGACCCTCAAATCTTCTGTTCTTGGAAAACAGAAGTATCATTCATCATGTACCTCAGAAGCAATATATAAAGTTTCTCAATCCTGAACGTAGATGCTTACGTATTTCTGCAGGCCAGCCAGGTCTCACCAATGGCTTCTCATAGCATAACAGTTAATTTGAGCTTCCCAAGTAAGTTCTCCTCGAAAACCCGTTTTGCCTTTGGCTCAAAGTCACAGCTTTCTTCAGCTTTTCGAGCTTTGGGAAAGCACAGAAGTAGAATTTCTTCTTTAATTCGCGCTATGGGCTCTTCTGCTTCATCTCAGAAACCAGACAGCACTCAAGGTCTATGTCTATCTTTTTGTCTATTTTCCGTATCTCATAGTAACCCAGTTACCTACTTTCTATCAGTTACATATATATCTTTGAATCTTTGTTGTTTGATACATATTTCTGTTCATCAATTGGGTTTTTCGGTTTTCTTTTATGATGGTTGTTGTCATGAGAGACATAGGGTTTGTAATGGATTCAGTGTTTATGTGGAACTACTCAGATGGGTTCTTGTATCATCAATCATGTAGTTGTCAATTTGACGTTTTCTTCATAATGTGCTCCGTTTGCATTATTACTCTTCTCTGGTAGTTGCCCTCTGCAATAATTTTCTGATTTAAGGAGAGAGGGAGAGAGAGAATCATTAGATTTTTATGGTATGCAGAGGCAAGCAAGACAGATTATGGATCTGTAAGTGATGAAGAATGGAAGAAGCGGCTAACAGAGGAACAATTTTACATAACCCGGCAGAAGGGGACTGAGAGGGCTTTTACTGGGTATGATTCCTTTTACATAGTGTTGCTCCAACATTTATGTGCAGTTCATTAACTTTTGTATGAAAGTTCATTCGTTTCCGAAAGAATTGCTAATCTAATCACATGCTACGGTAGAAAGTGATTGAAAACCCTAGGGCAACCTCCCAAAGGGCTTGCTCAGAGTATTTAGAGGCCGACATTATGATAATGTATGAACACTTAAAAAAATCTTGCAATTTGAAAATTATTATGCATTAGCTGGGATTTGGAAATGATACTGTCAGGCAATTAGTTAGCATGGGATCTTAAATTGGTTTCCATTGCATCTGACTATGCTTGAGATAGGGACCAATTCAATCTTTACTCTATAAAAAATCTGACATTTTGGTGCAAAACTATTTTTGTCATTTCTTGGATTTAGTGGGCGACAGGAAAGCGGAGGCTGCATAGAACTAGCCTTTGTATTGTATATATGGAGCTTGTACCACCAATTCTTCATAATCCACCTTTTCAACTGTTTCCTGAATGGAGAGTATCAGAAATTCCATCGCAGCCTCCGATAGAAGATTTTGTTTCCCCTTTTCTTAGCATTCAGTTAGTTACCTTAGCTACTTCATTGAGCAAAAAAGAGTGTCGAAAACCCTGATGCATCTTTAGGGTTGTTAATTGATTTTGGGTTAGATGAGGAGGGTGAATCGAAAAGTTAGTCTGTCCTGTGTTTTTTCCTGTACAAGTGTGCTTTGCGGGCCTTGCTTTTGTGAAGCCTGGTTCACCCCTGAACTTGTTTTCACACAAGAAGAGCATCTTACATAAATGAGTCATCTAAAGTGACAGCCATAACAATATGGCAGTGAGGAATTACTGCTTATGGGGAAATTTATAACTGAAGTTGAACTAAATATTGGTAAAATAGGCACCTAAATGGAACTTAAATTGTACCTAACACTGGCAAAATAGACATGGATTGTTCTTACACTGATTTATTTTATCTGTTGTTGCTATTTTATTTTCAGAGAATACTGGAACACCAAAACCCGTGGAACCTACCATTGCATTTGTTGCGACACTCCTTTATACGAGTAGGTGTCATACTTTTATTAGGCTTTTCAAGGCCCAACAAGCATTTAACGTTCTATGGGACTAATAAACCGCTAATCTCTTCTCCAGATCATCCACCAAATTTGACAGTGGAACTGGTTGGCCGTCTTATTATCAGCCTATAGGAAACAATGTGAAGTCGAAATTAGACATGTCTATTATTTTCATGCCTCGCCAGGAAGTCGTTTGTGCAGTTTGTGATGCTCATCTTGGCCATGTATTTGATGATGGTCCACCACCCACGGGAAAGCGTCATTGTATTAATAGGTATGTTCTTGCTTTAATTTTGGGCTACCCAGTTCCTCCCTCCCCCTCCCTTTGAGCTTTATCTTCGATAGAACTTGATGTTTGTTGGGGTTATATGTCCAGTGCTTCCCTGAAATTGAAACCAGAGTAGGAGATGGTGGCAAGCAAGCAGACAAAAAAAGCTAGAGTTTTATTTCAAAGTTAGATGAGACCCCTGTACGTATCACTACTTTTATCTAAGCCCTTGCTCAGGGAATAATGAACGTTATTTCTTGTGTTGTACATGTTGCCTAAGAATCCATGGAAGTGTGTTTGTCTGTGGATTGTTTATATTACGTCTAAATAAACACTGTTTACATATCCTTGAATTCTTCATGAGAAGGACGCAATTCACATGAATTCATTGGGATAGACGTAGATGAACTATACATATAGAATGTATCCAAAGTTTTCTCCGTGTAAAACTCCATAAAAAATTATTTGAAGTGTTATACTACCCTATGTATTGAATCATCCATTCTCGTGAGTGCGGTTAGATATTTACAAACTCATCAAATTTCAAACCCTGAACTGGCTTTGTTAATTACAAGTTAAAAGAAAGAAGACTTAAAATCTAGTTTTAGAATAACAAAGTAACATAACAAGGAGAAAAAAGTGTGCAAAATATGGATACATTGGAGGAAAAGATATCCGACCAAAGATCATTACAAGAAGGACAAGTAAAAATACATCAAAATTATCCAGCCAAAAGAACATCATAAGCTGCACAATGGCGATCATCAGCAATACAATGTCCTAATTATTTGTAATTGTGGCGTATGTTATCATTATATGTTGCAGGAATGAGTTGGTGTCTGTCTTCCTATGCATCGAGTGTCTCTGTTTCTGGAAGATGTTAGGAGCCTTCGAAAGGATAAAGTAAATACCACTGTGAAATTGTGCAACCATGATCACCATAGCACACAAAGATGCCAAAAAAATAAACTTTATTCCACAAGTAATCAACAATCTACCGCGACCAAATGACCCAAAATGTAGCCTGAAGTGCACAAATTCAAAGAATGATGGCTTTTTATCCATTCTGAAACCCCCTAAAATATTCCACAGATAGAGACTCGTGGTTTCTAGGAATCCCCTAACTCATTCATGCCAACTGGAATAATTTTTGCCACAATCCAAAAAACTAGGACATTGGATTGTCATTTCTAGAGCTTATGTAAAATCAATGGAGCACCGAATTGGGGTTGAAGAGAGAGAGTTGGGAAAGGAGCATGTATGTAAGATGGAGATAACTCAAATGAAAAGTGTTGAAGAATTATTGCCAGAGCCATTTTCACTTGAATCATCGCAAAGTTTTGTCCTATGCATATTCGGGGACCCCAGCTAAATGGCAAGAATGAGACTTGGCTCTTTATGGCTCTATAGACTCCTCCTGAAAACCTGTCTGGTTTAAATTCTTCTGCATCTTCTCCCCAAGTTTCCTTATCGTGGTGAAGTAAGACTGTTGGGAGGCTCAAGTGCACTCCTGCCGGTAGAGTCATGTTTCCCAGTTTAGTAGTTTGGATAGTAGCTCTGTAGATAAAGGTTACTGGTGGGTATAACCTTAGAACCTCGTGAAGAATCATTGTTACCTGCATTAGAACATACAAGAATACATTAGTGTTTTCTAATAAAATTCAAATACTCCAATCACTTAGTATTTGGGTTTCTTTTTACAATTCAAAATCTAGAAATAAGTAATCACGCGCAAATTGTGTATATTGATCAATTTAGAATTCCTTGTGAGAGTTGAACTTGGGGACTCGAGATAATAATCCTCAAGTCTATCCCTCAAAATTTGTAGTTTTATAGATGGAGGTTTAACACTAATACACACGCACACATATACATAGATATATACATACATGATACATGGAGAGAGAGAGAGAGGTTTTTACAATTTGAAGGTGGTTCAACCCATCAGAGTCTGGCTTTTCATTTCCACAAACTTTCAAAACCTCTTCTCGTGCACAAGCTTGCCAGTTTGGATGTTTGCTCAATAGGACCATTGTCCACACGAGCAAATTTTTGGTGGTGTCTGCCCCTGCGAAAAAGAATTCTTTGCACTCTTCCATCACCTCTTCAATACTCATCCCATGGCTCTTGTTGTTACCATGTTCTCGGATTTCTTTGAGATTCGATTCTAATAGTACACGCAATAAGTCATCATCGTCGCTAACTTCTCCCATTTTCATTTCCTTCTCTCTTTTGTCAACAATTCTCTTTATTAGAGTTTGCTCTTCAATCCGGATTTGTTTCATTCTCTTGTTTGCCTTAGTTGGCAAAAACCTGCGAAGCACATGTACAGTATTAGGCAAGGGTGTTAGAACATGGAAAATATTGAAGACCCAAAAGCATTTTCAACTGCTGATTCTTTTTCTTTACTCCATTTATGACTATGAACCAAGAGGCCCTCCCCTACCCCTCCAACCTATTAGGTTCATTTACCTTTGGCTGCAATATGAAATGTTGAAGATGCGATCTTATCATTTGATTGATGAGATCAATGTAAAGTGTTGTTTATCTTAATCTCTGAGCAGAACATTCACAGTTGTTTTGTCTTAAGGCTTTTTTTTTTTTTGAGTTGAACAAAGTCCAACTTGTTTTGTTAAGAAAAAAAACGTGCTAAGTAAATAAATTGTGATCTTTACACGTTTTCTTAGTACTATCATTATGGGATGTGATTGTGAAGTGTATCTTCACCGTCTATGTACAGGGTACCAAACGCACGAATTGGTTGCCGAAAATTAATTCGAAGATGTAGCTTATTAGGCTTTGGTATGTGGATATAGATCTTATAGACCGAACCACACATTTCCTTTGTGTTCTTTTGTCTCTTTATCTTCTATACTTATCTAAATTTCTTCATTAAGTAACTTCCACATTTAACATTACCTCCATCCTGGGATATGGATTAGTAGCATGAGTTGAAGTGTGCTATCAATTTTTTCTTTTTGGAGTTCAAATATCTTTCTCCCTTCTTCAGAACTATTTCCGAGTGTGGTCCGAGCAATCACTTCAGCAGATAATTCTTCAACATATGGACATACATCGACTTCACACGACCCCTTTGCAGACACTATCTCTTCCCATTTGTCCATCATTCCTCTACAACACTGGTAAATCGCTGGTAACATATTCTGCAAAGAAATTAGGAGTTTGACCTCAATGGAACATACACAGTTTGATCAGAAAAAAATTGTATCAACTTTTCATCAAAACCGCCTGGTTTTTGTTTTGTGTACGTAAGGGAGGATGTGTGGTTAGGTTTGAACTCAGCACACCTCTAAACTCTGATACGCATATTGAACGATCATCTGTTCATAGAGAGGAATGTAAGTGTATTCATCTAATATAAAGATTACCTTCAACTTTTCTAGATGGAAAGCTGGGTTGATAATCTTTCTGTGTTTAGCCCATTTCTCGCCCTCATAGGTGACAAGCCCAAGGGTAATCATCTTGGCTGCCTCTGTGTGTGGCTTTTGAAAGACTCTGTGGTTGGACATGACCTCCTTAACCAGTTCTGGCTCCACAATGTTTATCACTGGTGTTGGCCCCAACCACATAAAAGATTTCTTACCTGCACCAGTTCAATGATTCTTCAGAACAAAATTATCATGTGATAAAATTTATAGACTAGATACACATTGAAAATCTCTAAAATCACAGGGTCAAGCAACCATAGATATTGTTGATTGGTGATCAGTGGACGTTAGTTAGTGCGCTCTAGCCATTGGACTTGGTGCTTAATAAATATGATCATTCATTATTTTCAATAGATAAAATGGTGTATTAGACCACGTACGTACGTAGATGGTATATATGAGAGTAGATTGTATGTTGTTTCAATGCAACATACCGTACTTGTTGATGATATGGTGGTGGTATGGCAGGACATGGGGTGCAATATCATCAGAGAGGCTGATGGGTCTGGGTTTGGCTTCTTTCGTCATTATGAAAAACTCAGTCAAGTCTCCTAGCTTCAGCAATCGGTATGGATTTCCATGGAGTCCTTGCTCTCTCAGCCACTTCTCTAGCTTCTTGGGTCTCAACCACACCCAATTCACTACTCTCCATGTCAATGTCACAACAGCAACAAGAACAACTGAGGTTGCTATTGGAGCTACAAGTGTTGTATCCATTTTCATGGCCAAAAAACCTTGCTCCTCTTATGCCCACACACAGACGCCCATATATTTATAGAGAGAGAGAGAGAGAGAGCCAAACCATGGGATCACTTCTCAATAATCACACCAGAAGCAAGTGACAGTCAGTTGGAGTTTGTTATGCCAATTTGGCATACAATTTCTCCAGTAGTAACAAACTCACAACAAACACATGGATGCGTTAGATTCATTAAAGTTACCAGTGTAGTATTAAAGCCAGTTGTTTGAGAAAGAGGCCTTCGTCCACCGTCTGCTTGCTTCACTCTGACGGCAACAACGACCCTTTACCTAAATTTGAATGGGCAAATTATACTTCGTTTCCTTCACATATGAAACTTCTCTTCTCTCAACTATAACCCTTTTCTCAAACTGTGCGTATTAACCAATGGCGGAGATATTAATTTTGTTCAGTGCGGGCACTTTGATTATAATTTTTTTTTTTTCACTTGATAAAAGTAACATAACACATTTAAATTTATTTCATTATATTTGATACTCAAATATTTATTAGATACAAAATGGTTCAACATCAATATGCATAGAATATACAAAAAAAAAATAAAATAATGGAAAGAGGTTAATTATATTTATTTATAATTGATTTAGATGAGTTTTCATACTTTAAAGACGGTATATGATAATTTCATTATCCATACTATGGAGGATATATTTCTCTATATAAATAATTAACTTACTTTTTTGATTATGTAACTTAATCTTTACAATTTTCATAACTTAAAAAAAATAAATTCGGCATATTAAAAACTTGTCTAGCTCCTTAAAGTGTGTCAAAAAATTTATAGTTGATTAAATATTTGTCTATACTGTTTGATAGAACAAAAAATTGATAAATTGGATATAAAATATATACGATAAGCACTAGCTCAATGATTAACCCCACTGCAAATTTGATAAAATTTAGTTTATTTTGCCTCCCAAATTATGTTTTCGGTTTACTTTATCCCGAAATAATGACAATTTTTATTAAAAGATAAGGGACGTTTGCACTTGGGACAATGTGAAATCAATTTGGAGGAGACAATGTCAACAATTTAAGGGACAAAATAAAACTAAGTCCATAGTTAAAGGGATAAAAGTGTAATTTATCCTTTTTGAATCGGTTGCTTCACTCTCACCACTTGGAGTCACCGCTCTCTCGGGCACGTCTCGATTGTTGTGCTAGTATTGTTAAACTCATTTTCATGGGCAAAATCTTGATCCTTTTCGTGGCGTCTCACCCATGAATTTTTGGTTCCCAAGTTATATAGATTATTTTCAACACGAGTTGATAATCAATAAGATAGAATAGTGATATGATCCGAATATAAACACTAGAATTTGATATGATCCGAATAGTGATATGACACAAATAATTGTCAATAGCACTAGAATTTGGTAGGACGAACGGCGTGTCAGTCATAAGCTGACACATGGCTACTTAAAGCAAGCAAAGCGTGGCACTTGGGCCTCCAATGACTGAAACTAAGTAAAGAATATCATAGACCGAGAGTATACAACAGGCAAAAAAATTGACATGTCAATCGTCAGTGCTAAGTGTTAATTGTCATCGAATTATGAACCTTGTGCAATGCATTGATGTGATAGGTCATCATTACTGTCCTGGCCACAAGAAATTCGAGCTAACCACCAAAACCACAAGGCATGAGACCCCTACTATGGTTGGATATCCCTCGGGATATCAAGTTGACATCTCAAAATCTACTTTTAAATGTTTGGCAATAGGCTACGAGCACTTTATTGTAGAGCACTTGATGCACGGGAGAAGGGGGGGTGAAATTGTAAATGCACGGCCTATCCTGAGAGTTTGACCTCGATTGTCTCCTCATTTGGTATTAATGAGGCATGACGACAAAAAGACTTTTATTACACTGAATAATGAATATAGGTTATTGGGCCTAGGATTAACACTCGAGTGGATGTCATGTCGTTATAATCAAATGTATAAATATCCATCGAAATAGAACTAAAGTATGCATGTTGAAATAATTTTGTACCGTACATTTCTCTTTTCAAACTTGTGCATCAATGGACTTAAATATCAAAGGGGATAAACCGTAGCCTCTTTTCGACATTGTTCCTTGTTTCAAGGTTCGCAATCGGGTTCACCTTGGTGATAGTTATTTCAAATCATTAAAATTCACTTTTCCAATGACTACAACTAGGGGTAATGAGAAATCAATAACTATAATTAGATGTACAATATCAGAAAGATGACAGCCGAAGGGACAACATAAATCAATAATGTAGTTGAAAATACAATATGAAAAATATACTAGTCGAGGAGGTCGAAGTGCAATGTGATAAATATATATTTGTTCCTGATGCATCTTTTTCTCAGGATGTGACCGACTCTTTTCAGAAGCAAAAGACTTCAATGGGTAGCGGTAAAGATGATGCAGCTTAGAGCATTGTTCAAAGATGAACAATGTTATTGGATAAAAACTCAATCTGGTTACAAACTTGCTTCATTTACAAGAGTCACAAAATATCTTTTAGAACTGGTTCTGTATAACAATTTGCCACATGACTTAAAAAGTTAATATATACAAATTACCATGTAAAAACTAGAAAGAGTAAAAGAACAGACCATAAGAGGTACTAGACTTAACTATAAGAGACTATACAGAGCAATTTATAAACAACAAAGCCAATCCTTAAACTTCCATGCAAATTCAGCCACAGCGGATTGACTACCTTCAGCAAACTTTTCACTGTACAAGCCAAAAACTTCATCATATACTTAGTTCCAAATTTCCCGCCAAAAGCTTAGACTTTGAGAGCCCCTCAACCAATCGATCATCATAACTGCCAGAGCTGGTTATTGCCTATCTTCTAAAAGCCTTCAACTTTATCCTTATTTTTTGAGTTCAGGGAAATTCATTGCAGGATCACTGGGAAATTGGAAATGTCTCTACTGTATGTTCCTTGGACTCGAAAGATTCATTACCACGGCCAGATATGGGATTAGAAACAACTAGAATAGGTTGAACTCCGAGGGTATGATCCACTGATGGAAGAGATTCTTCGTCAGAAGAGTCGGATCCCACAGAAATTTCTCTCACTGTTGATTCCAACTCACAATTCGATTTTCTTGACCCTTTATGAGAAAGGGCATGCTTCATGCCACGAAAGGATTTCCCCGTATTCTTCAAAATGCTCTTTGCCTTATCTTTCACATGCACATTGCTCGGGCTTTCTGGGCCACTTTCCTCGGGACTCTCCTTCCCTGCTTTTAGAGTCTTATCTGAAGATGGAGCTACAAGGTGATCATCCACTATCAATTTCACTCCAACTCCAATCTCCTTTGTATTAACCGCCCTAAGGTTAGCATGTGGGGATGGAGCCGACTCTTTGACACTGCAGGATTTATCCACATGTCTGGGGCTCCTGTGAAATACCCCACTGATCTTCCTCAAGCCCCGCCGAACAGGATTTCTCCATGATTCTTTATTACACTCCAAGCACTCATCAGTGCTGCTACTGTCACTGACATAAGACCCACGACCTGATGTGCCCATGGATTCACCCGCCTCACCATGAATTTGGGTATCAAGGAGCCTATTCTTCCCTTTTCTAGGCTCCCATATTTGTGCAACTTCACTCCCTGGATGATGGACCCATATCCCCGTCTCTCGTTGCCCTTCAATGTCAATAGGTTCGAATATATCTGCTACTTTTGGGGACTTCTCTGGTAATCCATGCAACAAGGAATCTTTCTCTGCAGTATCAGTTGCAAAGGAATCTCCCATATACTCATTGTTTATCGTCTCCCCATCACGTGGTTGATCTGTCCCCTGAACAGTATAGCATCCGATGAATGTCAGAATTTCTAAAAAAAAAAAAAAGTCCATTGTTTCTCAGCATTCATTTGAACAAGAGTTTTCTATAGCATTTAAAACGAGATCAGCTTGTTTCCAATAATATTTGAAATGTGCTCAATCTTAAATTCTCCAAAATGAGATTACGGTAAGCATGACGCAGGCTCATACAAATCTAATACGTATGTTTGGTAAGCCTCCATAAATAACAGAATGAAATCTCGTGGAATGCCCAAGCCACCATCACATTTTCACTTATAGACGAACTTTAAGAGTGAACAACTACCTTTCGGTTGCCTTCAACTACTGTTATCGCAAGATGTAATCTCCCCATTTTGATATTCTGAAGAGACAGCCACATGTCATGCCTCTGCCCATCCCTATGATCGCTGAGATTTATGGAACAATCTCTGTAAGCACAGCAAAGTTGCTATAATTAAAAATGTTTGTTTTTAAAAATTTGGAAATGCTTAAAAGAGCGGATCGTAATGTGGATACCAAAAAAGAGTGGCCAATCATGACTATAATAGACTGAAATCCAGATCAAAGAAACCCTTATGGCATAAAAATCAATCACTACACCACCTAAAACAAGAGAATGCAGGGTCTAAGGGGAGTCAGATTTATGCAACCTTACCCCTCCCTGCATGACGAGAGGTTATTTTTGCGACTCGGACCCTTGACGCCCAAGTGACAATGAGCAACCTTACTGGTGTGGCAGGACCCACCCTCAAAATCAGAGATATAACAACATTTGTGTCAAGGCATTAGAATGCACAACTTCAAGATTCTTACAAGCATAATTCGCCCACCTCTTAAAGCAATGGACGTCTGAGAGAGAAAAGGAGAGGAAGAGGTTGGGGGGGGGGGGGGGGGGTTATTTGAAAAGGACAGGATTGGGAAAAATCCTCTCTCTAACCATCAAGTAATATACTAAAGATAATACACATGTTAGAAGGAACTAGGCAACTGAAGTATGATACCCTGTGAACACAAGTTACACGACACCTTTCAAATATGAATAGAAGTATATGGATAAAAAAGAAAATATTGTCAACTAAACTTACTTCCAATGATAAGATAATAAACTTGCAAGAAAAGAGATAAACTTGTTGCATAGCTATAAAAAAGAGATGCAACAACAGACCCCAGTGTGTCATCGACAAAATGATCCTTGTCACAGACTTCAATAGTAAGCACATTATGTGTGTCCCAGGAACAGATAGGGATCTTGAATTCCTCCTGCCATTTTGGAACTAATGTCTTCCTTTGTGTCTTTGTCCTGAATCTGTAAGGGCCAAGTTGCACTTTTACATATGGATCAGCCAACCCTGAGAAACAGTCGAGTTATTACACATAAAATTCATATTTAACCTTATTATCTAAAGTTAAGAGCATGGTTTGAACAAACCATTTAGGTCTGATGGCTTCATGTCGGTCGCTTCAACGACTTCCACTATAGCATGGGCAATGGGCTCTTTCAGATCAACTGAGAACCAACTTCCTGACATGTGAGATCAATAAAATTTTAATAACTTAAAAATTTCAAGCATAAGTAACAAGGATACAGTTGTTTAGCATTGTGGAACCCATATACAGAGCAAAGACAAGACTTCCATTGAATTACAGAAAAAGTTACAACATATAACAAATTATTACAAAGAGAAAAACATCCACCAAACACGTGAAGCTTCACAACAGACATTTTCGAAAGAGGAAGACACACAATATATGCCAAGAACTATGGTTCTAAGAAAATACGGTATGCTTTTTCAGTAAACTTTTTGTGGAAATAAAACCATTCATTGCATTCACAATCTAGAGGCAAGAAGATTAACATCAGAAGTTAAGAGTGAAAACCAAATTATTCCAGCAAAGGGACCAATACAAAGGTCAAGTCATCATACCACAAACCCAATCCGGACAATACAAACTAATTAACAAGCATTCCTATCCATGTCAACTAGTTATAACAATAGAGGCTCCTTGTTTGCCTCTGAAAAGCGATAAAACCAATTATCAAATGAGTTGTCAACATTCACTTCATTACCGAGCTTCATCCAAAAAGCAGAATGACATCAGAGAATATCAAGGTTTATCGGATTTAAAAGTTGAAGGCTAAAATAGTGCCTAGTGTTCAAATAAATGAGATTCAAGTTAATGCCATTTGTTGTGTACGAAAGTGACTTCTAAAAAGTGTTCAAGATATGAAAAAAAAATGAAGACATCAAATAACACTTGAAATTTGAAATCCACTATGTACAACAAGTCACAAATAATTTTGAACTTTCAATGCTTAAGTGACAAGATATAGGTACATGCATTATTTCTGACATGCTGACAATTGAACCACAAGGTAATGAGCCCATTTCCTCTCCTTAAGACTGCAACACCCAGTTAATTGATTTGTGTCATGAATTACCTGGTTGGGGTGAAACAAATTTCTCCACATCAACCACCAGCATATTAGGCTGCAAAAGTTACGGGCATATAAGTTAGGAAGTACAATTGGTTCAGCATAATAAGGAAAAAAAAAAGACAAAAAATAGGCCAATGAGGAGGACATAAGGAGAATCAAAGTCTAAAGAACTTCACCTCAACAAGTGTCTGCTCAAAAACATGGGCCAGAAGCTTATCCTAAACAAGGGAAAACGAAAACAAGATAATGAAGATTCAATATGTGTGTGCGTGTGTGTGAGAGAGAGAGAGAGAGAAGAGAGAAACCATTGTACATAATACATGAATTTAGCTTACCATCCATCCAGCGATCCCAGGAAGTTCAGTAACATCAAGGCCGTGGGTGAAAATAGGTTTCACAATCATCTGAAAATATGGTGACTCAACAAAGCAGACCCGCAAACGACCAAGGAAAGGCCACGTGCGAAGGAACTTCACCCCAATCAAGACCTACAGGAAAGAAAGAAGGTGATAAATGCTAAGAAAAGAAGGCCTCTTATCAGTGGTAATCTGTACCTGAAGGCATGGTGCAACGCAAGTGATAAGTGATGAATTGGGGTGGGAATTCAACGTGAATGGTTTTGAAAATGATGTTTGTTGCCGTTAGATGAGTCTATTTGAGGTTTGTCCTGTTTTATATTGTAAATTAACTTGTTTCAGTTTCAGTTCTGCTCCTCTAACTTGTCTAATGAGGAACCAAAGCCGAGTCTACCGAAAAATAAACAGCTGGGGCAAGGCTTGTTGAATCGAGATATTTCAAGTTCGAACTACCTCAACATCAAATACTTGACTGCACCAATGTCAAATTGTCTATGAAGAATATAACTCAGCGAGGGACATCAGCCATAGCATGGACTACTTTAACAAGCCAAACAGCATTAATTAATATCTAACCTTTCCTTCAACGTGCATACCCATTAAGTGCAACTTTGCCCACATTCCAAAACCCAATCTTTTTCTCAGTTTCACGGCAAGTATTGCACTCATATCATCTGCAGTATGAAAATTGATTCCCAACTCCAAAACCTGCATTACAGTCACTTAAACAAATAAGTACATAAATGCTAGCAACGACGCCAAAAGAACTGAACTGGGTCCATCATGACTGAGTCCAAATAACATACCAAGTGGTCGTCATTAGTAGACTGATGAACAACCCTCATTTCAGTGAAAATAGGCGGGGATCTTCCCATATACAGATGCTGAACCACTGCTTCCTTCTACAAGAATGCCAAAGACGAATCTCATTGTCACAACTAGTCATTATTCAATCACCACACCAAGGTTGCAAACTTTCTAGCTCATTACTAATAATACAAGCCAGAACATTGCACACCTTATCCACATAAACAATTAATCATCAAAATTAACAACCTCCTCTGGAATTCCGAAACAATCAATCAACAAAAAGATACGAATACACAATTACAAATTGAGTTGGCGTTCGTAGGCAAAAAGATAGCTGTGTAACCAAACAAGAAACGAAAAAAATGATGCTCAAGGGATTGTCTTTTGAAGGAAAAGGCGCTCTTGAGTTTGGACCAAAGCAAAAGCATTTAACTAAGGAATGAAAAAAGTACTAGGAGTACAGCCCATACCACGGTCCACGGCTTGTATTTCTGCAAGAACCAAGGTATGATAGGGAGGAGAAATTTCTGGGAAACTATCTGCTCCATACAAACAGTCCATATTTTTTCTACAGCATAGTTTAACCAACGCACTGTTTCAGAATCAGAGAGTACCTGTAGAAAAGAAAAAGTAAGAATAATTCAGAATTTTTATAAGTTAATGTCAAGGATAAGGCTAAGGTACAGCGGAGGTACCGTGTTGATATATTGATTTTGGTTTGAATGATTTGTAATCATTGATTGAAAAGATGATAAAATAATAAAAACTGAGAAATAGTAAAACTTTATAGTGACTTGTTTACCAAAAGTTAGCATTTGGGTAATATAATGAAATGGGACTCAATAATCAATCGGCAACAAAGAGAATATATTTATCTTAAAGAGAAAAATCCCGATTCCTTTTTTTTCTTTTATTTTGGTAGGAACAAGAACTTCCTTGAGGTTAAAATGTTGTTCGTGGCAGACAATCCAAGAAGAAATGCACACAAGAACAGGCAGTCAAACCATCAAAATCTTGAACTTTCCATTTCTTGGGACCTGATGGAGAATCCAATTCAGGTTTAAACTACAATTTAGAAAGGTGAACTGTTCCTTCCTTCTTTTATTCTTGCTATAGTAGATTTTGCTCAACTTTCTCATCCATTATCAAGGAAAATATTACTCAATCAAAATACCTATTAATGCAAATATAACAAAAAGAATTGAAGTTTCACCCTTCTTTGATTGGACTGTCTTCTTTCACCAAATTGTATTTTCCTCCTCAATCTCATCACATACCGCTCTTGAACCTATTAACAACAAAACCAATACAATGAATTCAATAACAAAACCTTCATTTCAAAATACACTTATCATATACTAATAAAAACACAAACACTTGATTATCTACTAAACAAATGGTGCTTACCAGATAGAAATAGATTAGAGAGAGAAAGTAGGCGATGGGGTGGCAGCAATTGAACGAAGAGAGTGTCCAAAGCAATATAAACACAATGGCCACATGATGTACAATCGAAGCCTCCGTTATATCCATTTCTGATCCTCCTCCTCCTCCTCTTTCAAAGAAAACCCAGTTCTGGGTTCGCGTTCTGCGAGAAACGGTGTCGTTGCGGCGAAGTAAAACCGACGAAGAGGGAGACTGGATATGAACAGAGCCACCAACCGAAGCGGTTTCACAGATTCAAACGGAACGAGACTGATTCGTCTATTTGAAGTATTGACTGTTAGTTTTTTTCTGGGTACGTGTCTTCTACATGTATTGGACGTGTCGGAGAAAGGAGAACTTTTCGGGTGTGGTAGATCTGGAGAAAGTAGATCATTGAATAATTGACTCGAAATCTGGAGTTGGATTGATGTCGGAGCTGTCGAGTTGTTTAAATTTTAAATGAATGGAGTCCAAATCCTTTAATTATTTTATATATAAATAAATTTAAAAAATCATTTAAGTCCAACTCTTTTAAAAAATAATCCAATCCGAATAGCCTACAAGTAGTTTAATGTCACACGGCAACCCACTCATCCTCTCTTTCACCTGCATTTCAACGAAATTAATATCACATGCCTTGATCCATTCAACCCACAATAAAAGGAGGGGTCGGGCTAGGGTACCGACTACCCCCATTTAGTTTGAAAGCAATTCTATTGATGTTGACTGATGCAATTCTGTATAAACTTTTATAACTTTTGGATTTCCTCACGTTATGTAATTTAAAAAAGGAGAAGGTGGAGAAGGTGAGAAGGATCGAATCGGAGTAAAAACGAACTATAAATTTCGTGTATTACACGAGATGTTAGTCGATATAATTTATTTCTTCCGTTTTTAAATATTTGTCGTTTAAGATTTTTATACCGTTATTAAGGAAGTTATTAAATAATTTTATTATGAGTAAAAAATAATTACACAAGATTAAAATATCTTTATTTAATACATATTGAGAAAAAAAGGGTTATGAAAAGCACTTAGTCTACATCTATTAAACACTTATTGAAAAATATAGAAAATGATAAATTTAAAAAAAAAATATTAATTATACTTTGATTTCATAAAACGATAGATATTGTGGAATAAAAAAAATTATGTAAAACAACATATATTTAGAAATTAAAGGAATATATTTTAGTGCCCACTAAATTTGGAGGGGAGATGATGTGTGATGAGTGATGAAGATTTATGATAATGTCCACGGTATAATTTTGTATCCGATTGCAGGAGATTCGACATCCAACGTCGGCAAAAAGTTTTGTATTTCGGTAAGCAGCGTCGCAAAAAAGTTTGTCCCCAAGATACGTGTGTTTATCCTCAAGAGTTTGGATCTGGTGTTAATGAACATAACTTTCATAGAAATTGTGCGGATGGCATTATGCCACATCAGATAAGAGTTTAACTTTGAATGATGTGGCATAGTGTGATTGGATCAATCTTGTGAGTATGTATTGGAGCAAACCCCAGATATAATTTGATGTAACTGCCAAAAGTAACCCCATGCCATTGGGCCCATCGGATCTTTACGACTTGGAATCCGGAGGGATATGGATATTCTCAAGTTTTTTTCGAAAAGGCCGTCTCTTGGCTTTAATGGTTTTAGGATTGTCAACGGGTCGGACAATTCGGGTCCATTAGTTAATATCTCGGACCGGTTTTGAATATCAAAAGGATAATTCACGGCTTAACCTATTGGGCCGGTCTTGAAAAATCCTAATGGGCCATCCAGTAAGTCAATCTTAATCAGGATCCTGAGGATTAAGATCGTAGGACCAGATCAAAAATCGAAAGATCCTACAAAGTAAGAAAATGAAAAGAAAAACATAAATAGTAACACAGAATTCTTACAAATAAGAATTAAAAAAAAACTAATTTATATGCAAATAAAAATATTATGACAAACAGAGAACTTAAAGATATGATTAGAGTTTGATAAATTACGATTTGATTATTCAAGAGGGTTGAAAATCAAATATGAACTATTAATCTTGTGGGATTTTATGAAGAAAAATAAAAAAATTAAAGTATTTTGATCTTAACTTTAAAAAATAGACAGATACAGAAGAGATATTGTAAAGTTGAAGTATTGAATAATAATCCTAATGGTTCAACATCCCAAAAAAAAAAAAGAAGAAAAATGAAAGACTTTCTAGGAATTATTACTCAACAAGAGAAGATCTAACTTAATCATTACTTTTAATTGAGTCTTTAACTATTAAAATAATAAATATAGGTTGGATTATCTCAAAATATGTCTAACTAATAAAACCAACAACGTGGATCGATAAAATTGCAACAATCTTATATGATTCGCATTGTAATCTGTTACGAGCCTATGAATGAGATTTTACTAGACTTGAGTCAATTTGTTTGAATTGGATCATAGGATGGAGGATCTGAATTTTAATAACACTTGTGTTAAATGGGTAATAATTAATTTTTTTTATTAAATTGAATATCTATGTCTACCATCATTACTTTGAGATAGTAAATATAAATTGCAATAAAAAATAATTTTTATTAAGGATAATGAGGTGTAAGATTAGATGTGCACTGCAAGTCAAGTGAGGTAGAGAAGCATTGATGAATAGGTGAGTTGTCTCATGTCTCATCGAACGGGATGGTTGAGTGGATAAAGAAGCCACGAGCTGATTTAACTTGCGCGTCTGCCTTCCGTGCCCTCATATTTTTTATCAACAATCAATTGACTCATTGCCATTGCACTTTAGCTAAAAAAGGTGAGCGAATGGCCAACAACTTTCATCCGAATTTTCGAGAGATGATCGTAAAAAATAATGGACTTAATTCACTTTTTTCTTTCTCATTGGTTCTAGTTCTAGTTCTAGTTCTAGTGCGTGCTTTACAACAATGGGACCCTTTCAGTGATGAATGAAAACAAATACTATCTTTACCGCTAACTATCCCATCAAATTACTTATCCAAAAAGAAACTATCCTATCAAATCTTTTTAAATTTAATTTAATTTTTTTTAATTACGTTAATATTTCCACTGGTTAAATTCTTGTTATAATTGTAAGAGTCAATGACAGAATTGAAAGGGTGGCAAATTATATTCATCTTCATTAAACTTTGTCTAAATAACAATTAGGCCCTCTCATGTATGTTAAATAACACTGATCTCCCTTATGTTGTTGTTTGTAACCAATGTCGCATACCCATTATTATATTGTTAGGGTAAAGTGAAGGATTTGATGATGTAAGGATATCAATTTTCAAAATATTAATATTGCCCTTATCCACATTTCTTGTAATCAAACAAACCATAGGCCCAATAGGGACAACTTAAACTTGTTAATAAACCAATTGTCCATTCTGCAATGCCACCTACCAAACCAACACTATATAGATGTTTGTCTTTGGATTCTTCTACAAAACCCGTTGGTTGTGGATAGGCTGGTCTTATGGAGGCTAAATGTTATACAAACAATGTGAGTACAACCATTACCCACAGGACATGTAGTCTCTCTCCCCCTCTCTATCTGTGTGTGTCTACCATGACCTCATTGGAGCAATCTTTGCTCTCTATCTCTCTCTTCTCCACCTCTCTCCAAACTTCGAACAATGCTTGAAGTTTTTTTTTTATCATTTCCAATCCAATCCAATACAACAAGTTGTATGGGCTTGGAAAAGGGTATATATGCCTAACTACTCCCATGTTATGGCAAATGTATTTAAATTTTTGTGGGTCTCACAAATTACCTCAGAATTTGAAAATCCTTTTTAATTGAATTTTACCATCATATCCCTACGACAATCCAATTTTTTTAAAGTAAGGGGTACAATAGTCTTTTTACAAGAAATTTCATTGACCACAAATTTAACCCACCCCCTAAATGGGTTAGAGAAAATGAATAATGAGAAAGATTTCAAGATTCAATCAAATTGATTGAGAATCTCATTATATTTTAAGTGGGTCAACTAATCGACTAAGTTGGGGGTTAGATGTCCGTGTCACAGAGCCTTTCTCTAGCCAAAAATTTTATTATTTGATTGAATCAGGGCAGCCTTCAGCATTTGGTACTAAGGAAAGAGGAGAACCAGCCACTAAGCATAGACCCAAGCTAGGCAAGAGATAGAAAAATACACATTGAATTATCTTTTGGGATAAATAAGTTCAGAAAGGAGATCAGAATCGAAAACAACTAATGACATGAGTGAAAAACCACCACCTATAATGGATAAATGCCACTATTCAAATTGGGCCTTGGATAGGCCCAAATGAAATATCCCAATGTTATTTTTGATTCTTAAACATAGGCTAAAGGGACCCATATTCTGTCTAATCAAACATATTTTAACTCTCTATATCCCGTTATCCAAATATACTTAAGGAAATCAAACAAGCTTGAATAACCCCTACAGAGATATGAGATATGTTAAGGGCTAATCAGACCTATATTGCCCATGTAAGAGGGCATAAATAACCCTACTTAACTTTTCTATTGTACCAAAAAAAAAAAAAGATGCACACACACTCCGCCGCGGGGGGGGGAAGAGAGAGAGAGGTGACAAGGACAAACTAGAGGTGATTACTACTAGATTTGTGAAGCGGGAATATTATTGTGATTTAAAAATTTAATTTAATTTGTTGGTTTAATAATGTGATTTTATTGTAACTATTGAATTGTTACTAAATTTCAATATTTGATAAGACCCACAATCAATCTAATGACTATTGTGAATTAAATCAACAAATTAGATCAATAAATTAATTCTCAATAACATTGTTATTTAGATGGTGCCATTGTTTGGTTTGGTGGGTGATTATGATCAAATTGGGTGAAAATTGAAAAAGATAACTTTTGAGAGAAAAAGATTGAAGGGCATTATTACCATTTAGATATCTCCATTTACGAAAAAGAAATGAGATAAGGGAAGTCAGTATTATCTCTCATACGTGATAAATTTATTCAAATTAAAACAAAAAAAAGTTTAAGAGGAAAATTAGAACTCGTGTCAAATACAGGGGATGTATATGACATTTATAGAAAAAGGCAAAACAGTAGTCACAAAGAAGGCAGAGGATTGGTCGCGAGAGTGAGCAAAACCAGAAGCGCCATGCCAACGGAAATGCCCATCACATCCCAGTCTTGTACAAAGACGATACCACCTATATCACTAAGCGATCATCACCACCCATAATTAAAAAACCTCCAATTTGTTTTGTCAACTTGGTATAGATTTGATCGACCAGCGATTGTATAAGGCCAACAACCCAAATGCTCCAACTCCGATTCTTACAAGCCTCTCTCTCTCCAAAACCCCACCTAACTTTTCCTCTCATCTCTTCTTCTGGGTCATTGAGAATATCACAAACAAAGCTCAGATCGCAAATGGGGTCTTACACGACGTCGTCTCAACAACCCTCAAAGCTGCTGTTCCGTCAGCTCTTCGAGAAGGAGTCAGCGACCTATACTTACCTTCTTGCCGATGCTTCTCACCCTGAAAAACTCGCCCTGGTATATTACTTTCTTTTATCTTAATTTATTTGAGGTGATTTTCAATTCTTCCATGGTTGTTCTCCGGAATTGAATGACTTAAATTGTGCTATTTTGTTAGTCTTAGCGCATTTGTAGATTAAGGTTAAAAGGGTTTCATGAAAAACCTTTATTTCTGAATTTGGTTTGGTGAGGACCTGATTTAATGTCTTCGCCAGGTTACCGATTTGCGTGTTTAATTTTTTTTGGGTTTATGGTGAATTTAAAGGTTTTCTAAAGTTATTTGTAAACTGCAACAGTGGGGATGGAGAATTTTGTCTTGTTCTGAGCCTAGATATGGTGTGTGCGGGTGACCAAATACTGGAACACTTGAGTACAATTTATTTGATTCATAAATATTAGCAACTGGATGAGTAAAAGTGGTAGACTTACCGAATGATTTACCAATTTGTGTAGAGCTCTTGTGCGAGGAATTTTGGAAATTTATGACCAAATACACCTTTGGCAGGAGCAAATTTTTCTAAACATTTTTCAACCGATTTGGTTGGCAAACAAATTCTTATCATTATGACGTTGACAAATCTTAAAAAGGCAGCACTATGCATGAAGTTCCTGTCGGCTGTCATCGTGTGGCATCTGCGGAGGCTCTAATGTACGCAACCTTACTCTCCATATGTCGAGAGACTGTTTCAAACTCATGAGGCAATCTTATCACTGCACTAGGGCCCGCTCTTAGTTTATTAGTTAATTTATTATGCTTTTGAATGAACTTGAAAAGGATACCATTATTAAAGGAATTTTTGTACTTATAGTAAAAGTTAAAATTTGGGTGTGCAGTTGAATCAATTGAGGTTCGAATTCTGAATTTTTTTTCACACAAAAATTTTAGGCTTTCTAATGATTCATTTACAAAAATCCAAATGATTCTTTTGGATAAATTGTATTAGCTACACAGTGACAACTTATGGATTAGTAGTCCATGGAGACTAGACAGAAGCAGAGTAGCAAATATGCACTGGTTTACTCGTTATGCACATTTGAATAACACCCCAAAATTGCTGAAGTAAACTGTGTCTATAATGAATAAAAAAAAGCTGTGTCTATAGTGGATTTTGAATTATAACATTCAGTTCACTAACCATTTCACTTTCTTCGTTGGTTGTGGTATGCATATATGCTGACAGATCTTTTTAATTTGCAGTTGGTTGACCCTGTAGATAAGACAGTAGACAGAGATCTTGCTCTTGTTAAAGATCTGGGCTTGAAGCTTATATATGCGATAAACACCCATGTACATGCAGACCATGTAACTGGGACTGGCCTAATTAAGGTAGGTCTTAGCTTCCTCTGGGGCATTTAAACTTTAGGCTATACATTTTCACTATTTCATCTCACTATCATCTTCAGGGTTAGTTCAAAAGAATTTGTCACTGATTGTTTCTCATGTTACCTGGCTTGACTTGTTCATGCAGACTAAAGTTCCTGGTGTGAAATCTATCATTTCCAAAGCAAGTGACGCAAAAGCTGATCTTGTGGTTGAACCTGGTGATAAAATCTGCTTTGGTGATCTTTTTCTGGAGGTACACTAGTATTTTTTGTTTTAAATGGTTTCTACATGAAGTGGCTTGTTAAACTCTGATGCGTTACAAAGACTGCCAATATTAGTCGGGTATGAAGAAATTCTGGACCAACATTAGGGGCAACCACAGAAGATAATAGATATGAGAATCAGAGAATTTGATACTGCACTTTTGTCCAAAGGATGTTGGGCCTGAGATAAATATATTTAGTCAATCATAACTTTATAAGGTTCACCATCACTCTCAAATCAAAGTAGTGTATATCTTGGATTCTGACCAGGTTGGTCAGAGTCTAGTTTTCAGAATCAACGGGCTCTATTAACCTCTTTGGATCGGCCATCTTCTGAGCTTTATTAGTTGTTCAAAATGCCTCTCCATCCTATTATTTAGTTGATTATGATATCGTTTAGGGTAAATTACGCTTAGAACACCTAAACTATGGTCTAATATCACTTTGTCCCCTGTTCATCACTTACATTGAACTGTGTCCAACTCCAATCCAAATTACCTTCTAAAACTAATGGTGTTTTCCTTGCAGGTTCGTGCTACCCCTGGTCATACATTAGGTTGTGTTACTTATGTTACAGGAGATGGACCAAGTCAGCCTCAGCCAAGGATGGCTTTCACGGGTGATGCTCTATTAATACGCGGATGTGGGAGGACAGACTTCCAGGTATAGCCGCACAATTGAAAAGAACTTGTGTTCTTTTTATTTTTTGTAGAATGTGCAATCATGTGGAAATCTGGGGCATTTTTGATAGTTTAGCATAATGTGCAATTATCCGTACATTTTTGGCATTGCTAAATATGGCTAGAAGAAGGATTATTCAACTTATGAAGCATGCAGTAAAGATATGGTTTTTCTAGGTATTGTAAATCGTTGCCTTTAGTTTTCGTTCTATTCTTGTTCTAGTAGTTGATTGTTAGTACACTAGATGTTTACCAGTCTGATCAGCAACTGATTTTGTGCCATTTTATGTAAGTGTAGCTGTTTGGCTACGTATAAAATCTGTTTGTTTGTTTTTTCTTTTGGTCAGGCACTATTGCAAGGGAGGGGACGACGAGATTCGAAACCGTGACCTTAAAGGTCCAACAGTGGGGCGGTTGCCATTAGGCCAACCACTAACCTCATCTGTTTGCTTCTTAATAACCATCATTTTCAGTTAAGCTGCCTCGTTGATCGGGAATTATATGTATGTTTTGGCCATCAACATTTTCATCTAATCCAGATGAAGTGTATCATTGATATTGTCTGGGAACTGGTTTCTCATGACATATCCTGGTCTGGTGTTGCGTGTTGGTTTGGTTGGCCTTGGACAATAGGGTTAATCTTACCAGATACTTTTAGCTTTTGCTTTTATCAGCTAAGTTTAATTTCAATAACTTGATTGCAGGGTGGAAGTTCACAGCAACTATATAAGTCGGTGCATTCACAGGCAAGGACACGAAAATAGTGCAATTCAATAATATAGATATGACATAGAACTTATAAAATATATCCTATTTTTTCTTTCCTTTGACTGTCCCTCATTCATTGTAATATTATGTGGCCAGATCTTTACTTTACCCAAGGACACATTGGTGTATCCTGCTCATGACTACAAAGGTTTCACTGTAAGGATGTTTCTAATGGTTCTTGATTCTATAATATGTACATAAAAATTGGCTGCTTATACTGCCTCTTTGATCTTCAGGTTAGTACTGTGGGAGAGGAGATGCTGTTTAATGCTCGCTTGACAAAAGATGAGGTGATTCTCTAGCTTGTACTTACTTATTTTGATTGTGGTAACTATTCAATCTTGGCCTCTTGTTTCATAATAACCATCATGTTCTTTATTTCATTGTTTCTTAAGATAGACAGTCTTTTAATTGATTAATTGAATTCATCTTCTTTGTTGGCCGTATATATTTTCAACTGCATATGTGGTTTGCTGAAGCGATGCTTCAATAAACAAACTAGACAAGGAAGTTTGGATTAGGCAACTAATTTACCTTGGAATTCTTATGTGACGGTCTCCTGTTTCATTGGATGAACTATGTTGTATGCAAAGAGTATTGCAAAATTCACGAGAATCCAGGGATGCAACTTTGGGATACCACATAAAAGCATCGATTCAGAAAATGAGGACACTGATGCATTTGGACAGAAAATCATCTTTTTTCCTGCCAAAAATTATTTTATTATATATCTTTATTTTGACTGATTGGGTTCTGCTTTCTTTTTACTAATTTATTTCCATTATGGAACAAACGTGCTGCTGCAGGAGGCATTCAAGAACATCATGGCAAGTAAGTAATCAGTAATCAAGAAATTGTCCAAAGCAATGTTGCATATTTAATTCTTCACAAGCATTTTTTTGTCCTGCAAAATTGTTAACAGTGCACAATTATTACAACAGATTTGAACTTGTCATATCCAAAGATGATGGATGTTGCAGTCCCCGCTAACATGGTTTGTGGGTTGCAAGAAGTGGAGTCGAAACCCTGCTAATGCTATGGCAGGTCAAGCTATGCATTGTAGTTGTCGTTGTTCTTTTTAATAATGGTGTGACTGATGAAACTGGGTTTTGGTTTGATAAAATTTTCTAATAATGGTCCAATAGAAAAGGCTTTCCGGTTGATCCATTTGTAAAACTATCCATTCCTTACATGGGCGTGGTTGTATTTCTACTTACTGTGTAGATGTAATAACAGGTATCTGATAGTTTACGGTACACTGCGAGAAAATGGAATTTCTCCCGTTGACAACAGAAAGACCGCATCTTCTAGCTTTTGCATTACCCTTTTGTGAAAAAATGGAATTCAATCTAATAGTTTAAGGTGCAATGTGAGAAAATAGATAGTTTAGGAGTCAATGTGAAATAAAGGGCATACTTTAGGGTAGCAGTGCAATTTGCCCTTTCATTTGATTCATAATTGGAAGATGCAAATTGAAACATAATGTGAAAGCCGAGACACATCTATAATACTAAAATAGAGCGTGCAGCTTGAGTTGTTTATACTCCTCACTTAGAAAAATACATAAATGGTCTAAATGGTTTAGATCCTAGGATTTATATTACAATTTAATAATTTATCCTTTTAACAACGTAACTTATTTAAAGTTTAATCATTTAATCTTTTAATTATGGTAATTTATTTAAATTAAAACTTTTTTAACCTTCTAAGTACAATAATTCATTTAAATTTTATTTTTAACCAAAGTAACTCGGCACAAAAAAAAACGTGCTTTACACGGGTCACACTAGTGTTTGAAATTTGAGGATGAAAAGTTTACTAATTTGAGGTGGGACAAATTGACATTTTCAAAATTTTCTTGGGTATGTAATGCAATTAATAATATATAATATAGCACTTTGATGCAAGAGCCTTCATGTTCCCTTTTTTTCTTCCCTCCTCGGAGCTGAAATCGATGTGGGATAGTAAACAACAATGAATTTTATAGTTAACAGTGAAAAGGGAATCAAATTAAAAAAAATTAATTATGAAATGGATGTTTGTGGACAACATAAGCCAATCTTTCTAAATTGAGGCAAGAAAGAACTCAATTCATCTGTTTAAGCTTTCATCTTTCCATGGGTTAAGAAAGGAATATGATACATATGCACATTTTCCTATATATATAGCAGACATAATTGGGTCTTTGAGGTCATGAACAGTTATCAGTTATGGGTCTTAGGGGTCCTCTCTAATAGGTACCATTCATTGTGTGATATATGGGTTCCTACCAATTTGGACAACCTGCAGGTATTTATGTAAAGGTGTCTGAGGAAGAAGAGCTAGAGGACAAGCTGTTCACCATTGAACCATGGGGATAGTGTTACCCATATTTCTGACCATTCAACTCACACTTGTGTGTGCACATGGACATGGTGCTTGGTCCCATCACAACTTGTTAATTGGCCTTTAGATCTCCAAATCCCTTTATCTTCAGAGACTAGATCAAATGAACAACCCACCTTCCAATACTTTTTCTTTCCATTTTCTTTTTTTTGGTAAATCACGGTCTCACTTGAATTCAACGTAAATGATTTATTCATAAAAAGAAAAGAAAAAAAAATATATTTGAGAGATCTCACGCTGATAAATATATAAAATTATAGAAAAAAAATAATCTCACGCTTATTTCTATGTAAAATGTGACATGTCATGTGATTCAAAAGACTGAAAGGGGCCACTTGGTAAGTTTCCAAATTTAAGATTAGATTGATTTAGATAAACTAATCCAAACCCATGCAATTAAATCTTTTAGGTAAGGTTGAATATGAATATGTTTATTCTATTTCAATTCTGAGAATGGTTGGATAAGAATAAAAGAAACATGTGAGTCTTGAGATGTGATATCAAATTGAATGCCACTTTTTACAATCATGGACGTGTTTTTGACAATATTGTCCTTCATCCAATGAAATGTTTGAGTCGAAGTAAGGGCATAATAATAATTTTAATCCTAATCTTAATCCCTCAATTTTAACTTGTCAAATATGGGAAATATGGGCTCCACATTTTTAGTTTACCCAATCCTAAAGAATTTTCTATCAATCCGGTTAACCGAAATAGTCCCAAAGCGGGTTAAAGGTCTCCCACTTGTGGATTGTCGAATGGAGCCTTCACCCTTCAGATAATTGAATCATATCATAATTGAATCGTAAAATGTAGGAGTAATGTAATATCGTTTACCACGAATTCCATAAATCTCATCACTAATTCCATTAAGGTTTTACACAATCTCATCATTAATTATGGAGCGAGTTTTAACATTTCTAATCTACTCATCACTTATAAAGAAAATAATAAAATTAAAAATTAAGGGTCTAGATTGTCAATTATAAAATATTTATAACAAATAGCAGAATTCATTGTGCTTCATGGCTTTGATCATAAGAGTGGCAAAATCTTAGCCGTCCATCTCTGAATCATTTGTATCTTGCCACAAAGAACCATACTCATGGTCCTCTATACAATTTCCATAGTAACTAAAAGAAAAACAATCTCTAACACCAAACTCAAATATACCCATACCCTCCATATCCTCTCCATAGGAGTCCAAATACCAATTGATCATGCAATCACTAGGTGAGGAAAGCATCATCTCCATATCCATCCAATAGGTATGATCAAGATCACAGGATGTGGAACAATCCTGACCGTCCGCGTGTACCCCGCCCTCGGACAATGGGCAACCCTCCTCCAATGCCATATTGGTATAGTAAGAAGGATCCACAAATGAGTTATGAACATCTTCGACCATTTGAGGACTGATCTCGACTTCTAGAGATTGAATCACACTCCTTAATCTTTCATCGTCACAAATATCGTCACCTTGTGATTCATCAAGTAGTGAGATGAGAAGGGCAGTGTCCACTTCTGAGACTTCCATGTTATGGAAGTCATGATTAGGGCCATTCATGCATGACCAATTTTCAGGTACAAAAGAGGCCATATTGTACAAGAACAGTGACTAGCAAAACCAAAAACAGCAATAAGAAAGAAGAAAGAAGCTTAAGGAAGTGCAGTATTAGAAGATAGCCAAAGGTCTGAGGTCTTCAACAAAGGATAACCACAATGACTGTCGTAGAGAGCAACCTTTAAATAGGAAAAGAATATGGCACACCACGTGGATGGATATATATAGAGCTGCTCACCATCAACCCACCAAACAGTTAAATCCCCCCCCTCCCCTTCCACAATAGAATATTTAATACACCGGTAATATTTTATCAGTATTAATGACTTAATATCATTAGCCAATAATAAAATCTCAAATAAGTAAAGTAAACTCCACCTGAGTAGTTATTGACGATAGTTATTGGCTTGTGTGGAGTCTACTTCCTTATTTGTCTATATATTATTAGTTGGTGATACTATGTGACAATGCTGACGTAATATCACCGTTGTAATAAATATTTTTTTTCCCAAACACACACAATACCCCCACCAGAAAAAGTATTGACGGGCCTGTTAATATTTGTATCAAATTTTGAACGATTTAAATCTCAAATATATCTTAATTTTTTATCAGATTTTGATCTGATTGTTTAATAAATTTCATTTTCGTTGTTAATATATCAAATACGTTAAGAATTAGAAGTTCGATTTGAAAATTCGTAATTGAGATGATCTTCGTACAAGAATAATCCCCTAATTTTATTAAAAGCATATAATTACATATAGCTCGAATTGAATCAATTATAATATTGAAATCCAAATAAAACTTTTATTTATTGGCAAGTCTAATCTTGTTGATTATCATAGAATTTTTTTTTTCTTTTTCTTTTGGAGAAGACTCCAGAATTGAAAAAAATTCAGTACTGCACCTCCAAATTTTATAATTTTAATGAGTGTTTTTATAATTTTAGTGAGTTAGTTTACAACAAAAAAAATTTATCATTTTTGTGGGTGATTGTTAAAATTGATCACAAATATCACAAAAATTATAAATAATAATACCAAAATTTTATTTTTTTGATACCGTAGACTACCCTTTTCTTTTTGGCGATGATCAAAAGAGCAGTTGAAAGAAAGAACCGATAAAAGCCTTTGTCTAGGACCAAATGGCTATTATAACCAGAAAAAGGGTATCAATGGACATATGGGCCAAACAAGGTAGGACACAAGAATAGAATAGCAGACAATATCTTCAAGATTACGTTAGATCTGATAGGATAGGGAAAAAAAGTGAAGTGAGGGAGGTCCATTTTCACTTGTAATTGAGGGAATGGATGTGATGGGGACCTAAACATCTCAAAAAAGTTTATTCGCAATTGGGTTGGGTCCCACTACAATTATATAGGGTCAAAAAATCACATACCTATTAATCACTGAGATTATGAAATCAAACTATTGTTTATTTGTTAAACTAGGCAAATTTCGTCACCAGAAGAGACATTTGCATGTGGATGGCATCTTGTAAGTGGTATCACCCTCATTTTTTTGATAAAGAGGTAAGAGATTCTAAGCTTTTACTATTTTCTCATATGAATTGGCGGAACACTGGTCATTATAGTATGAAGTCGGACGAATATATTAGTACAATGAAACAAAAAAAACTCGAAAAAGGATAATAGAGCTTTGAAGAGAAGCATGAGAGATTCCAAAGGAACGATAGAACAGAGCCCAAAAGAGAGGCACCAGAGATCAACTTTTATTTTTGACTATAATTTACTTATTGACTAGTTGGATAAGTAAGAGGTGATCGACGTTACTAAACCCAACTAGTAGGTTTTAGTCTCATCGGAAGTGTGGAATTGGAGGATTGGCTTCTCGGCTTGTGTTCTTGGCTTGTGTTCTTGGCTTGTGTGTTATTTACGTTCTTGGCTTTGTAGAGGTAAAAACAAAGAAGGAATATTGAGTTTTAAGTAGGGATGACAGTGGATCGGGGCAAGAGTGGGGGGAGTAGTCTCTACTTCTGTACCTGCTTCAAAAATATTCATCATTCCTCAGTTCAATTCCATTAGCGAAATTTTTTTTTTAATTCTCATCCTTACTACGCAATTAAATTTTAATCCCCTTCTCCATACCCACCATCGTCCCCGCCACCACCAGCACCACCCATCCATAATAACAGATTACAACATATCCAACTCAATAAGTAAAATTCGAAGTAAGAAAGGCATCAAAATTTGATATTATATATATTTATGAAAATCTAACAGGTCTAACGGGGCGGGGGTAAGTGTTAGTAAATCTCCGCCTCCATCCCCAATTCAAATAGGACGAATTTTGACAAATTTTTATTTTTTCTCGGGCAACTGTAATCCCTAACTTTAAAATACTTACATAAGTGAGATTGACAAACAAGTTGATCCTTAAAAATCAATGGAAGGAGATCACAAAGTTATTTTGGACCAACCAATGCACGATTTGGTGCACATGGTGTCACCTAAATGTGTTGGGGGGGGGGGGGGGGGGGTCTAATGTCACCACTTTTTAACTCTATCATGGATGGTGTATGAACCCACACGCATGTGATGCTCCCCCTCCTGCACCAGCCCTAACCCCATTTTCACTCCACCTCCAAAAGCAGATTGCTACCGATCATATCAGTTGGGAAATCAGATAATTGGCTTGGTGACTGTTTCATGTCTAATTAATTTTAGAAAGAAAATATAGGAGAAGTCACACCTACGTTTATGCCGGGTGCAATAGCGTATTAAACTCAACTCAACAAAGTTTTTTTCCGATAATTTTGGAGTTGGTTATATGAATTTATTTTCATCATTGTGCTCTGTTAAGAGTTATATTTTTATGTTAAATTACAAGTTATTAAATATTTTTTTATTATTTTATTTAAAATTAATTTTGTTCTTTCTATACCCCTACACTTACTGTGAATAACTAGCATATCATTATCATTATTATTATTTTTTGATTTAACGGTTCGAGGTGTCTGATTCAAGTTATGCGTATCTCGATTAATTCTCTCTTTGATCCGATTAAAGGTAGGTCATCCACGCCAGAACTAAAGTATTTAGAATGGATAAATCCTTCATAATTTGACCCTAAAAAATTATAAAAATTCAAACTCATCGTATCATTATTTTTCACCGACATTATAATAAACTCATTTATAAATATGTCTAAACTATCTAAATCGGGTAGATGAGAGCAAAAAGCCCATGGCCCCTGAACTAACACCAAATCACGGAGCCCTCCAACCCACCCACCACGTGGTGACTTCTTGGTGGGGGCGGCACCTGCGTTGTCTATCAGCATTGTCTGACGACCTGGCCCATGTATAGCATGGTGTCTGGGCCTGAGAGGTAAGCTTTTAACTGGACCGACCCATTGTAAAAACATTCAGAAAAATTTGGAGTTTTTGGAAGTCAGTACACCTGATTAGATTTATTTGACAAAAAATACACATTAAAAAATATTTTTAAAAAAGGTACACTAGTTAGATACAGAGACATAAACACCCATTTTAGGGAAAATGGTGCATTAAATATCTCTTAGTTTTATGAGAGAACTTTAATATTTAATTCACATTGATTCATGTGTATTTGTTAATATATATATAAATAATTATATATAAATACGTATAAATAAATATATATACATATGGTAGTTTAAGTATATTCTGTTGATTTATATGCAGATCTATTACTAATTCTTGTTGTTTATGTAATTGTGATTTAATTCTGTTAGACTACTGCTGCTATGAAATGGTTAATTTAGTTTTGTTATAATGATGATTCTATGTGTTTCTTCTGGTTAGTCTAATTTTGTTATGATGATTGTTCTTGGTGCTTCCTATGTCTCTGTGGGGCGGAAGGAATGTGTTAGGCCGTTTTCTGCTAATAAGAGTTTTAGGCCGTTTTGGGTGGATTCCCATGATGTCCCTAAAGAAACGTTGACAGTTGGTAGGATTATGAGAACTATCGTTGTAGCAAGATGAAGCTAGCTTTTTGTTGTTGGAAAAGTAATTATAGTTGAATTATTGTCAGCATTGCCACTGTCGCAGTATTGTAGTAGAATTAAAAGACGAATTATAGTAGTAACTTGAAGAAGGTAATAGTGAAACATATAAGTCAACATAACACCCTTTGAAATACCACTATGACTTTAAGTTTATTTAAATCTAAATTTTATCATAAAAAGGACAATGTTAAAAATATGGAAGAGATAGAGTTCTCTGATATTGAAAATAAATTGCAGAACTGAGATATACCCCAGTACCCAACTAAGAAAATCTATAATATTGGTATTTTTGATTTTAAATCGAGTTTAACCGTTAAAACGATTGAAATGACTATTTCTTTTGATCAGCATAGAGATATTTTACAGCTGTTAACTGAAAGAGAGATCTTAAAGACTCAAGATAAATATTATAAATTTTTGCATATTAGTTTAGTTCAAATTGCTTTAAAACCTTTAACTTTGTAGGGATTAAATGCCTCGTTTATGCTAGCGCTAAGGGATGCTAGATGTCTTAATTTTGATCAGTCTTTAATGGGAGTTATGCAATCCAGCTTAAGTACTGGTCCTGTTTATTTTAACTGTTTTCCTAATATTTCTGTATCTTTGACTAATAAAAATATTTTGGATGTTTTAACTTGCAATATTAAACCTTATGGTTATAATTATAAAGAGAGCACATATATAATTGTGTTTGCTTATTGTATTTATTATAAAGTGATGAATACTCTATGTCCTGAAGCTAAACTTTTGAACCTTAAAGGTCAAACCACTTTAATTGAAACCAATACGGTCAAAAATAAAATTGAAGTCCCTAAAATCTTTAAATGGTCAGAAATTCAATTTTCAAAAACCTGACTCTTGGAGTCTGTGGTTCCTAAAGAACTGGAGATAAATGAAGAAATAACTCAAATCGTCCAATCATCCCAGGGTGATGTCACGATAAAATTTGCTAGGATAAATTTTAGGAATTATTTAAAATCTTCTGATAAATCAGAAACTTCATCTGTGTATAATGACCCTTTTATACCTTTAAGAAAATCTACTTCCTCGGTACAAAATCGAAGAAGAGATAAACAACCCATAATTGAAGGAATTAAAATTTTCAAAAATAATATTCCCCATGGTATATATAGACCAGCTAATGCATCTTCCTCCCTACAGGAAGAAGACAGTGATTATGTAGATCCAACTCCATCCGAAATCGGATTTCAACTATAGTTTCTATGAAGTTACGCCCAAGAGAATTACAAATGATAAAGGAAACTTGTAATAAAGAATTTTATTTTCTTAAATATGAAGAATTTAGAAATTGGTATTTTAAAACTATGAGTTCCGAAGAACTTCAAAATTATAAAGAAATGTTTTACCTTTATATAAAAAGGGAAAGAATGATAATTCCTTTTGTTAATTGATTTTTAACTCATTATATTCCATCTGATACTAAGCAGTTAAATGAACTAAAAAATTGTTTTCCAGATATTGACGAAGTTGAGTTTATAAATGAACTCAAGAAAAAATTAAATGATATTGCTAAAATTGAAACAATCAAAAACCAACAGGGCAATACAATAATTAATGAAACTGTTGACAATAAAACTATAACTATTTCAAATACTAACTCTCTTACAGATAATTTACTTTTCCATAGAAGGAATCATGAAAGCAACTCCTCACACCCCATTAAAGTCTTCAAAGAAAAAAAGACCTAAAACCTATTAAATATTATAAGTGTGGAAAAATGGGACATGTTGTTTTTACGTGCTATTATTCTATTTTCAAAAAGGCTATGAATAAATTAAGTATAAATACTTTGACTAAGTCACAAACTTTTATTCTTGATCTTATATATAAGATTCCAGATCCAATTTCTAAAAAAAAAACTTTTAAACAATATTTAGAGATAAATCTAGAAGAAAAGAGACCTAATTTGTCTCAACCGTATTCTTTAAAAGAAGTCATTAATGGAACCGAAAGTGACATGCTTAAAAATTCGTGCCATATAAAGGAAACTTTGTCTACTACGGTTCAAGACTTAAAGAAAGAAATTCATAAGGTTAAAGAAGACATAAAAGTCATAAAGGCCAGACTCTTAGAATTAGAAAAAAATGCCACTTAAGGAAAGTGACATTCAAGATGATAAAACATCACCATCTAACTCTTTAAATAATGAATATTTAAATATTTTGAAAAAAATAATTTTTCAGAAATGGTATGTTAAAATTATGTTAGTAATAAATTTTGAATTTATTGTCAAAACTATCGTTTTAATTGACAGTGTAGCAAATATGAACTGCATAAAAGCAAGATTAATTCCAACTAAATACTTTGATAAAACTTCTCAAACCATCAGCATTGCAGACGGTTCAAAATTAAATATAAATTTTAAACTCTCTAATATTTTTGTATGTAACAAAGGAATTTGTATTCCTACAACTTTTATGCTTATTGATAATTTAAATCAGTTGGTAATTTTGGGTACACCATTTTTATCTTTAATGGAACCTATAGAAATGATTGATTCTAAAGGAATTTTAACTACCATAAATGGTCAACAGATATTATTTGAGTTTATAACTCTACCTCAAATAAAAGTGATAAATCAAATAAAAGAAAATCTGATTTATAAAGAAAATCAGTTAAACTTTTTAAAAGAAGATATAAAAATCTTAAGTTTATCTGCTAAACTTAATTCCCCTGAAACTAAGCACAAGATAAAAGAAATGGAGAATACAATCACTAACGAAGTGTGTGATACTATTCCCACTACTTTTTGGAATAGAAAGAAACATGTGGTTACCCTACCTTATATCAAAGACTTTAATGAAAAGGATATTCCAACTAAGGCTCGACCCACTCAAATGAATAAAGAATATTTGGAATTTTGTAAACAAGAGATTGACTCTTTATTGGATAAATCCTTGATTCGAAAAAGCTATTCGCCTTGGAATTATGTAGCTTTCTATGTTAATAACGCAGTTGAAAAGGAGCGCGGAGTTCCTAGGCTTGTTATAAATTATAAACCTTTAAATAATGCATTGCAAAGGATTAGATATCCAATCCCTAATAAAAAAGATTTATTATCTCGATTATATAATGCTAAGATTTTCTCTAAGTTTGACTTAAAGTCAGGTTATAGGCAGATCCAAATTGCTGAGAAAGACGGGTATAGAACCATTTTCACAGTATCTTTTGGACATTATGAATGGAATGTTATGCCCTTTGGACTTAAAAATGCTCCGTCTGAATTTCAGAATATAATGAATGATATATTTTATCCCTATTATTCATTCTGCATCGTTTATATTGATGATATATTAATATTTTCTGATTCTATTGATCAACATTTTAAACATCTAAAAATATTTGTTAAAATTGTCAAAAGTAATGGACTTGTTCTCTCTGCTATTAAAATGAAACTATTTCAGCCTAAAGTAAGATTTTAGGCCATTATATTAAACAAGGGAATATAGTCCCTATTGAAAGAAGTATTGAATTTGCTTCTAAATTTTTGGATGAAATCAAAGATAAAAGGCAGTTACAAAGATTTTTGGGCAACTTAAATTATTTAACAGATTTTTATCAAAATCTTGCACAAGATACTGCTATTTTATATTCTCGCCTTAAGAAAAACCCGTCTCCTTGGACAGAGATGCATACAGAAGCAGTAAAGAAGATAAAAATTAAAGCTAAATATTTGCCATGTCTTTCTCTAATAAATCCCACATGGCTTAAAATTGTTGAAACAGATGCCTCAGATAAAGGATATGGAGGTATTCTTAAACAAAGGAATCCTACCGACGATAGTTCTCATAATCCTATCAACTGTCAACGTTTCTTTAGTGACACCATGGGAGTCCACCCAAAACGGCCTAAAACTCCTATCAGCGGAAAATGGCTTAACACATCCCTTACGCCGCACAGCGACATAGGAAGCACCAAGAACAATCATCATAACAAAATTAGACTAACCAGAAGAAGCACATAGAATCATCATTATAACAAAACTAAAGTAACCATTTCATAGCAACAGTAGTCTAACAGAATTAAATCACAATTACATAAGCAACAAGAATTAGTCATAGATTTGCATATAAATCAATAGAATATATTTAAACTACCATACACTTCTTGGCTCTGATACCAACAAGGGGGAGGATCGATCTACAAGCGCAAAAGATTAGCAAAAGCTTTTATTTAATGTAAAATAGTCACAAGAGTTTACTTACAGAGTTAGGGTAAAAGGTGGAAGATGGAAGATTTTTACAAGAGGATATGGTTTACCAAGGGTGCAAGAGGGAAAAGAAGGAAGGAGTAGGTAAGGAGGTAAAGAGGCGGTCTGGGGGGGCGGTACTCCACAAGTCGGGCCTGCACCCCTATTT